TTCACGTACGGGATTGTGAAATTATTTACTACGAAAGCTCGTAACGCTGTCACTGGCTTAAGCCTTTACACTGAAACGTAATGCGAAATGTACACAGCCCGGTCGTAAGTATTAGGACATTTAGCCAAAACGTTGTTAATATTTCAACTATTGTAACTTCGCGAAAACATGCCACACAACAATCTCTCCGGTGCTATTTTATAGACCGAACCATCTACTTTCATACCCTTAAGTTGCATTTCCTCCAAGATCTTTTTACGCAAAGAACCAAGCGAGAAAGTCTAAAAATGTTTAAAATTCAAACGACTCCTTCTCGGACTTTTATTTTGATTTGTCATATATGTATATCTCGCATCGAACACCTCAAGTTGAATAATTTAAAACAAATTTTTATGGTACCCTAAAACTATTGCTTCGAGGAAATTATATAAGTTAATTTTTGTTCCTAGCATTGTCGTTTATTCGCCATCGATCATTCCCCAACCCTAAGACTCAAAAACACTGATCCGGCTCTATATTTAAGGTCGAAGATCGATCATAATGACTACTTCCTACCGCGATTACATCATAAAAATTAATCACTCGCAACAGGCTGCCGTGATACACGGTTGTATTTCACGTTAATGCAACTGAAATGCATCTCGATCGGATAGAACAGAGGCAAGTAATGCTGATCGATAGTAATTTTATCGATAGTTCGGGGCGTCCATATAACGTAAAATGTGCTTAAATTAAATCTCGTTCGATCAAACTTCATGGGGAAGTTGCTTCTGCATTATTTGGTAAAAACTATTCCAAGCTTCGTTAGAAATAGCCGTCACTTGATAAGGTCATCAGCTAATTAACTAGTTCCAAGATGTTAATTCGTGGAACGATCTTGAGCTTTTTCACTGAAAAGAAAACGAGTCGATAAATTAGTCCATTCTTGGAATCTCGTGCGAGCACGAACATTCGTGTAAAACTAAAGCTAGAATTGTTGGCAGCTGAGAAGAATTCTCCTGATTGTGAATGATTCTATTCATACTACATTTTAATCTATTTTAGCATGGAACCAGACAAAAATTTGCCAGTCTTTTTAGTTGTCCAAACGGTTGATCGAACAAACTACAATTACGAAATCTTAACCAACGTTGATACGTCTAGATTTATTGTTAGCGAAGTAAACGGGAAAGAAGAAGCGTCAGTTAACTATTTCACCGTGGCATGCGCAACATTTCAAATTGGCACGATGTTTAGAAGTAACCCACGTAATTACTGGCAAACGCATACTCTCGAGTAAAATATTTGTCGGTGGATCTACAGAGTTGCGATACCTCGACGCTCTCATGTAGTAACGAAGTCATAGCTACATGAATTCATCAGCGACGTCGATACTAAACAATACACGAATAAAGCGTAACAATTTTATATTTTATTTTTTAAATAAAATATTTCAAATCGTTCTGGAAAAATTATTCTCGGTTGCGGGAGTCAGTTACAATCATTTTTGGTGAATAGACATACCCCTGAATTCCTACCCACTTTCGAGAAAAAAATTCGAGTATGTATTGAAATTTTGAGACGAATTTAAAAAATTTCAAATCGTACTAAAAAAATGATATTTACTTACAGGGGTCAATTAGAAGTATTTTTTGTGAATAGACCTACCCCTGAATTCCTACCCACTTTCGAGAAAAAAATTCGAGTAGGTATTGAAATTTTTAGGCGAATTTACAAAATTTCAAATCGTACTAAAAAAATGATATTTATTTACAGGGGTCAATTACAAGCATTTTTTGTGAATAGACCTACCCCGGAATTCCTACCCACTTTCGAGAACAAAATTCGAGTAGGTATTGAAATTTTTAGGCGAATTTAAAAAATTTCAAATTATACTAAAAAAATTATATTTTGTTACAAGGGTTAATTATAAGCATTTTTTGTGAATAGACCTACCCCTGAATTCCTACCCACTTTCGAGAACAAAATTCGAGTAGGTATTGAAATTTTTAGGCGAATTTAAAAAATTTCAAATTATACTAAAAAAATTATATTTTGTTACAAGGGTTAATTATAAGCATTTTTTGTGAATAGACCTACCCCTGAATTCCTACCCACTTTCGAGAAAAAAATTCGAGTAGGTATTGAAATTTTTAGGCGAATTTACAAAATTTCAAATCGTACTAAAAAAATTATATTTACTTACAGGAGTCAATTACAAACATTTTCGTTGAATAGACCTACCCCTGAATTCCTACCCACTTTCGAGAAAAAAATTCGAGTAGGTATTGAAATTTTTAGGCGAAATTAAAAAATTTCAAATCGAGCTAAAAAAATTATTTTCAGTTGCAGAGGTGAATTACAATTATTTTTGATGAATAGACATACCCCCGAAATCCTAACGATTTACGAGAAAAAAATTCATTACCGAAAATATAATTTCAGGCCAAGAAAATCTCTCTGAAATTTCGTGCGTGTCTTTAAAACGTCATAACTTCTGAACGGATTGGAGGATTTTAATGTTTCAAGCGGTAACCGACGCGAATTTTGGTGAAGAATATATAGAAATTCTAACAATATTGAAAAAGTTGTTCCTTGACCCCATTAAAGTAAGAAAAGCGCCATAAAAATCCTAGTTTTTATCGCTTCGTATGTAGATATAGTCCAATTCCTCACAGAAAATGATATAGGAATATGAAAAGACCATAATCTTTATACCTATGAACTTAAAATAAATCAAATATTTTTTTAGAAAATTAAATATAAAATAAGGACCTGTTTGGTTAATCGAAGGAACTGTTTGTTAAACTGTACCAGTTTCGAACCACGCTGTTCCACGCTTACCCGTTCACAAAGAGTCTACACGATTCAGCAAGAATGCTAAGAGCATTCAAGGGTTCGTGACATTTCAATCCCTGATTCTTCTCAAAGCTTCCAACGGAATCATTCGTCTCTTCCGGGTGCTTAATTCTATAGTACAGAACGGGTATAACGGCAATCCGTTACGCGACTTTCTCGATTAAATAACTAATGAGGATCGTGTAACAGAACCACGGAATCGTGAACCCGTGCTTAAATCGACACCAATCCGACCCTGTGAAATGAATGGAAACTGAGAATCAGAAAAATGTCAATATAAAACACGCGGGAAAGAAATTCGAAAGCAATAGGTACTTTCGTTGATGGGACCAACCTTAGAAATTGCATTTAGACCACAATGTAGTCGCTAATAGCCTGTCTATTTAGACTTTAGTCCTGATGTTACGTGTCCTATTGCTTGGCGTTTGTACACAGCTTAAAACCCGTTACGCACTGTCGACCAAGTCACCGGCGCGGCGACCAGTCGACGAACGACCAGGATCAAAGTCAGCCGCCGGTAACCACGTGCGTACGAACCCATATATTCGCTTCTATATACCTAGTGGTCGTCGGCGACTGGTCGACGACGAGTAACGGGTTTGAACCAGCGGAAACTGCACTGTTATTTGAAAAAAAAAAAAGGATGAATTTGAGAAAAGGTCTGAATGAGAGGAAATCTGGAAACGTTAACAAGAACGTCATTTGCCTGGAAGAGAAATATATTAGGTGAAGCGTATCTAACGTTAGTTACGAGTGTTGCCAAGTATTTAGTGGGAAGAGGCATTCCAGAGAGGAACAGGAGGGCAAAGAAAGGGGGAGGGCAGGATGGGTCTCATGGTGAAACGAGGCATTCGCGACTACAGTGCATTCCTTTTCCTCGGCCGTGTTGCATGTGCAGGAACAAAGTTCTGGCTGTGTATGTTCCGCGGGTGGCGAGAGACGAGCATAAGGTAAACATAAAAACGCCGAAGTGGAACGGTAAGTAAATCCAGCGAACAGCGAGAAGGGAAAGGCTTCCCTCTTGGGAAACAACATCGAGGCGATGGTAAGAACGTTTCAATGTGTCTTTCAAGCATCGAGAAGGAGCCTTTGCATCGTTGTTAGAAAGTGAACGAGGTATAATGCCGTTACGCTGCACACGTGTTTTATCCTCGAATCGATTTTCAAATCCGCGGATCTTTTTCGCGAAGAAAATAAATCGGACTTTTTTTTCCATCGACGTGCATTTCATCCGACAATTTCGGATATCGAATCCCGATACATATTAGATTTTTTCTTTGTTCTCGATTTGTGTGTCAAACCTTTCGTATGCCCGGCGAAGGTACTGAGCGATGTATATGTCATCAAAATGTTTGATCAATTTCCAGCCACTAGGGACACGAAATTATTTTAAATCTTCAAAAGAACAACGTGTAACAAAAAAAATATCCATTGACCTGATTGACTATCGTGATTCATGACAGATTTATGTTAGTTACTATAACCTGTAATAAGTAAAAAAAAAGTACAGTAACATGCAACGTGCCTCGTGAAGATACGATCTTTTATTAAACGTTGACTGTCATGGTGATTACCGGTAACCGGCGTTTGATACTTACAACGTGTCTTTAAAACACTTACGATAAACGATACTTGTAAATTTTTTCATAATGTCATTCACATTAGGCACACCGTAATAAGCATTCGATCGAACTATCGAATATTTCTATTTGTTACGCCATCGTTTGAAAAAATGTCGAGGATATCCCTAGGCAGGGAAAACTGGTGTCAACGTATTAATACTTGACACTAGCGTGGTTGTTCTCAGACCTATCCGATTCAAACGATCGAAGTAAGATTTCCATTAACAATCTCGTCCCGATTGATTTAGCATTATCTTTATTTCAATGCCTTTTACCCAGCTTTTCCATTGACATCGTCTTCGACACGTAAACACGTGCTTCGTTCGAAACCATTGACACGCGCTGCTGGTCGCTTGGTCGACAAGTCCGTGCACGAAAAGAAAGAACAAGATAACCGGAAGACGAAGAGAAAGAACCATCTACGAAACGTTCTCGTCTAATGAAATATCGAAAAGAAGCAGATCAAGTTTTTCCTGCCGCGGTCACCGACCACAAAACCGCGCAACGACCAAACAGAAATAATAAAAATTTACCACTTACCGTTCCTGGACACATCCAGCTCCACGAGGTTTTCGAAGTTCTGGATATCCGGTGGCAAACGATGTATTTCATTGTCGCTCAGCCCAAGCTTTCGTAACCTTTGTAGTCGGAAAAAATTCTGAAACCACGAACGACGTAAATATTTGGTAAAACGTTAGTCTTTCGTTGAAGGAACAATGACAGTCGGCTACCCCGTAGAGAGTAAGCCGTGTACGTACTTCGTCGTCACATTATAGCCGATGGAATGATACGTCATGGACACAATAGAGAGAGCAAGGGTGGGAGAGAGATGCAAATCGGTAAAGGGAGGGGAAGGTAGAGGCAAAGAAAGGAAAAGAGATACGGTTGTAAGACAGAAATGTTGGCATGTAGCGGTATTTGCCTACCTTAGGTAGATCACGAATATGATTCGCGTCCAATAAAAGCTCCTCCAGGCTCCTCGAGTATCGTAAAATATCATCAGGGACGCTCGGCAGAGAGCAGTGACGCTTGTCAACGTATTCCACCTGCCTGTTACACCCTTTAAAAATCGGAATGCAGCGGAACATGGTATCCTTTTCACTATCAATCACGTTAAAACAGCACCAAACATAATTGTCCCGTAATTTTACGGAGGCACACGTTACTATTTGCACATATTCATGGATAAAGATTGATTAAAAGAATACGGAGGAAAACGAGCGGCACGACACACACTTTCACGCCCTACTCGGCTTTAAACGCGCTCTCGGCTTGTGCCTCGAAGTCTGACGTCATCACGTCTACAAACCACTGATCACGTTGCTCTAAAGCGACAAACAACAGTGAACGAATACGACGCTTTGAAAAGACGGTTCTCCCCACTTCATGCGCTTTGGCATGAAGTTACCACTTATATAGACGGGAAAACTCGAACGAGATATTTCCTTCGATTATGGAAACGGGCATGAACCGCTGAATAAGAAAATGTTCGTCTACATATCGATAATAGAAAACTAACTAAAATACCTCGATTTCTTAACAATTATCTATAAAATGCTTTTATTTTCTTCGTAATAAATGTCTATGAAAGATATACAGCACTGACGCAATAGGTTGTTCATGGTGTATAAAACGCTCAAGTCACCGCCAATCAGCTTTCACGTCCAACAGAATTCCACCAATCGAAAGTCGAAACAAGCCTACGCTATTTAATACTCACCGGAGGCACCAGAATTCACCAGGAAGTTCCTGGTTTAGGCTACATACAGTGTGGCCAGATTTTGCGTAATTGAGTGCGTCGACGGCGACACTAGTAACGACGAACTTCCTTAGCGTCTAACGGAGTGGTAGGGAAAGCAGACATATCCTACCGCATGAACCATATTGCGTGAGCCTTCTTTCTTGATATGATGAAATACACGTTTTAAAACCCCCGACCATGTTTTAACTATTGAAAAAAAAAGAAATTTTTATTATTATTTTTATGAACTAGTATATTATATGTATAGTATATTAATATGCTTAAAGCGTGTGTTTCCATGTAAATTCTTTTTCATTATGGACTTTGGTTATATGTATGTGTCTATGTAGTTCGAAATGTAAAAATGCCTGGGCAGTCGAGATTTGAAATTGTATACCATTGACGCGAGGATTGGCAGCTGTTGAAGACCAAGAAGGAATGGACCATTGACGTTCTTTATCGATCTTTCGAAGTTGCATGAAGCGCTGACCACACGTAACATGTGGCTCGTGCGGTAGGATATGTCGGCTTTCCCCACCACTCTGTTAAACGCTAAGGAAATTCGTCGTTACTAGTGTCGCCGTCGAATCACTCAATTATGCCAAATCTAGCCACACTAGCTACATGCTACATGTTATCTAGTTAGGTGTCCACCTGAAATAGCATACTAACTGTATGTATAATATATTTGTACGATTATATTTACTATAACTATAAGTAAATGTTTATTTGTAATTTATGGTTGTATAGTTGTAGATTCCTGCTGTAGGTATTTTATTTAGTTTCATAAATGATTAATAAATATCCAAGTATAGACTATTAAATAATAAATGAACTACTTTGCTCGCAATCAAGTGTCACTTACATAATATAATCAACAGTCCTTGAAACTGATCATTATTGTGTACTTGTTCTTCTGTAATAAAGTACAATTTTTCGTAAGTATCGTAATGCATTTATAGTTTAAGTTTCTTCCCTGTTATTACAGTGTAATAAAATTCACAACATAGAGAAGGTGTTCATCGGTCAAATTTTCATATCCAGTGTTGCACGTCAATATATATAAACAAATATGAATATTGGTCTGATATCGGAATACCTAGACACGTACCAAGGAAGAGATAAATTTTTAAGAACTTTGTCTTACGTAGCGAAATTAGTTACGTTAGGTACGTCGTCGAAGGAAACGGAAGAAAAGTTGAGAATATTTAGTAGTCAAATGAGCGGGTGTAGAGTGATTTTAAGATTATTGGACGATATACCAATGATTCATTATGCTATGACTTATGAATGGGGAAAGAAGGTATATAAAATTGACAACAAATAAACTAATGTTTACTGTACAAGAAAAAATAAGTTTTCATTCTACTTAATAATGAAATGTACAAGACTATACTGTTTTTCTAGAGACATATAAATTTCATATCTAATGTAATAGGAGCCAGATTGGTTGATCAAATGGGCAGAATTGGTACAAATTGCAGTGGACACTATATTCTGTCCGATAGAACACATTTCTTGGGCTGGTGAACGCAAATTAATTAAAATTAATATTGAAAAGTGGAATAATGTTTCAACATGGTTTTGGATAATTTCCCTTCACTTGTCGTTAATAAAGTACGTTATAAAGCAATAGGACATATGTTTGTTCATTTATTGAAAATTCTTATATACATGTATCCTTTTCAGGTCCCTGAGAAAATTAAAAAAGTGCAATAACTATAAAACATATCTTGGTGAAAGTAATAGCAACACAAGGTAAATATAAAGAAATAATAAAACATTTTTATTGCTTCAGCAATTTTTATGACATAACTAATTATCCATGTTTCAACAGAATTGCCCTGACAATAGTAAATAAACAACGATGGATTGAACTATTGTCCTGCACACGATTAATATTAGATATCAGTTATGCAGTTAGTTATTTACCACGTGGTGTATTATGGGGGGGTAAATTAAAAATTTGGCAAGTTGGTGCACTTGGGACTGTATCCTCCCTGATCGGTTTGTACCAAGCAATCAGCAAACGAGCAGAACAGAAGAAATATTTGTAATGATATACAAATTTTGTACAGAGATGTTATAAATTCTGTAAAAAAAATTACTATTAGTATTGTGAATCCGAGTTGAGCAAATTTTATTCGCGAATAACGAATAAAATTTGCCAAACATTGTTGTAAATATAGATCTTTATATTTTATACTGTAGGTGTTATGCTACAATTGTAAAATAAATTATGAAGTTCAAAAGGAAACTAGTCCTACAGATCAGTTTCTTCATACAATGTAAGGTATAAATTTATATATTACAAAATAATGCAATTTTGTTAACATAATAAAGAACAATTTATTACTTTTAATATACTGGTTCTGTATTATAAGTTATGCATTAACAAGGATATATGTAGTAGCAGAAAAGCTAAAGCAATATAAATTATTGATATCTGAGTAAAGTTTTACTTGATCTTGCTAATAAGTGTACTTACATATATATTTTACTAACGTTCGAATTATTTTTACATACATATAGCTTTTGTGTGTTACTATTTGTAAATTATACATTTAGGTTTTATTATCAATAAAAGTTAAAGAATAGGAGGCACTTTCTGTATGAACATAAAAAAAATACTTTGCTACTTATGGCGCGTTGTAATCATTGCCTCACAATTGGTTAAATCTTCTAAAAGTTTTAAGAAAGCTTGACATTATGCGTACCAGTAGCAGTCTTGTTCCTTTAATAGTAGATCTCACCCTGTATCGCGTGGTTATCAATGATTTAAAAATAATTTGTATTTCCACATTGGAATAAAATCTATGGAGATTACATTAAAAGGCACGACTTATTAAAAGTTTGTAAACAAGATATTTTCGATAAAAGAGCATCTTTAAAATTTTCGTCGGATTATAATCTTTTTTTTTTAACCGTTAATTCATTAAATTTTAATCTAGGAATTTGTCGTTCTTCTGTTTAGAATCATTTTCAGGCATAGCAAACCGATTTGTTTCTTGGACTAAAAACTTGTATGAATACATTTGAAGCTTTTGTAGAAGATATATACATACATCCATACATATATGTATGCATAGATATATGTACATATACACGCCATACACACCACATATGTATGTATGTCATATTAAAGCACTTTATATAATTACTTTCTTATACATATAATAACTGTATTATTTGTTCATTGCATTTGATGTTATAAGGCGATATATAATTTTTTGTATTTGTTCCACTTCCTTGAATCAAGCTAAAATTTAGCGAGTCGGATATATGATATGCAGGATGTTCCTGAATAACATGTAATAGCGGGTTGGAGGTGATTCTTTATTAAAAAATAAGAAAAATAAACGTAATAAAATTTTTTCGATTTCTACATCATTTTCGAGATAATCAAGTTTGAAAATTCAAGATACGATGTATAGTGTCTATCGTGTTTGTAAACAATGTTTCAGGATTGTTGGTATTCTTCTGGAATCGTCGGTACTTCATGAATACTCAGTTTTCGATAGTTTACCACGATGACTTACATGAATGGGGAAACGTTGATATGATTCGAGCTTTGAGAGTTTAAGTACGTTAATCGTAGGGTTCCTGATCGGAGAACGATACAAAGAGTAGGCAAAAGTCTTTTGGAAAATGATGAATTTAACAAAATACATTTTCATTCTTTCCTGAACGCAGTAATTCGTAAATGTCCTGTAAACATTGTTTATAAACACGATAGACACTATACGTCGATGGGCGAATCGTATCTTATCGTTAGTCGTAAGTGCGAGTAACCCAAGTGAATCTTCAAACTTAATTATCTCGAAAAGAAAGTCGAAATCGAAAAAATTTTATTCTTTTTATTTTCCTTATTTTTTCATAAGGAATCATCTCTAACCCGCATTTACGTGTTATTTGGAAACACCCTGTACATACTTTTCTGTCTTTTATAGTTGATAAATGAGACCAATAATGACAGAGCATTCTGCAGTCGATTATACGTATTTTCAATTACAAATCTTAATTCTGTATAATAACGTTCTCTTTGGAACGATTACCAGTAATAACTTGTAATGCTATTTGTAGCTGCCTGTAAAATAGATGTTATATCGGAACGTTTATAACGATTATTATAGTTATTACACGAAAGATAAAATTATAGTATTGTAAATGAATTTAATTCGAGGAAAAACGGAAAGATTAAAATATGTTTAATATGATTATAAAATTAAAGTAGTTCGTGCTACCGATTAATTTTTACTTTATAGTTTTTGTTTATATTACGTACCTATCAAATTTTAATTACGTAATAACATTTAATATTTAACACTATGAATAAGCACATTTTTAAGGCCAGGAGATTGGAAAGGACAAGTTTGTTAAAAAGAAAAAGAATAAATCATCTTTTGAATGGCAAGGAACAGAATTGTTAAATTAAAAAAAAAAAAAGAAAGGAAAAACGACAATGGAAGTCTATCTGCAAAAATATGATTTTTAATTCACTCAACAAAATGATATCAAAACATCAGAAACTCAGTTAGAAGTACTACTACGAAATCTTGTTCAAAGAAAATACGTAACATAATATCGTAACAAAAAATAAAAACAGAATCAATTCACTACAATTCGCTCCAGAATCGTAGACCGTGTACTTCTCCATTTCGTCAACAGTTAAACAGTCCCTGTAAACGAAAACTCGCAAAGGCTTACCGCTTTGACCATGAATATAAATTATGATTTACAGTGGCCACTTTTGGCAATATCCTTACACTGTACAATCTAACGTAAAACTACCAACGATGGAAAAATATAACCGAAAAATATCGGAGTAGAAGGAATGGTTGGCTAGTACTCTATAAAAAGTCATTGTTGCCGTTATACTAAATTAAACATGTTTTTCGCGAAAAATAATAATAATTCAATTGTAAATCCCTTCTGCTGTTAGAACACTACAATAATCTAAATTCATCAAATACTTTACGGTTAAGCGTAATATTTCGCCGATGGATTATTATAGCGGCGCGTTGTGTTTTATTAATGTTTGAACACCACAAACTTAGCCTTTTTCTCTCTCTATAGCAGTCGAGTGGCTTCTTATTTTATCGCATAAAAATTATTGTCACTATAAAAGCCACAATTGAGCTCGTATGAATTCAATGTAAATGCACACTCGTAACGCATAACTGACGTATTAATATGCCGTATTACTTTATGGCACAATTATATTTTTTTCTTTTTTTGCAGTAAAACGATAAACAAGAGAACCAGTCCCTAAGTAAACGCAGTAAATAAAAATAATTTATTGAACGCGGCGACAACCGCGTTCGAAATAGGAACTCTTCGTGGAACACGATTTTTCTTATCTTTCAATTAGTCTTTCTGTACCGCGGACGTGTTTGGTAATAACGATAATAAACAAATCGTTGCAATTTGCCGATCAGCTGGTATATCCGGTATTTTTAAGTATATCGTCAACCCAGCTGCCTGCAGCCCTGCGATAAAAACTAAGTAGTTCGCACCCTGTCTGTAAATCAGCTGGCGCAACGTCCGTGCGAAAACAAAGTCTTGAGCATAATAATAAATTTAATTATGAAAGAGAAGCTCGGTAAGTAATTGTACTTAGATCGTGGGATTGTACATTCCACGACATCCGGGGTTTCCATGTGGCGACAATCCGACCACTTGATTCGTCTTGGAATTACGCATCAAAGGTTTGTGATACCACATTGACTCCATAGAGTGTTGCCACTGCCAGCAACTGCGGCAAAAGTACCGAAAACACATCTACAAACAAAGGAACTGCTTATGGAAATATCTATTGTGACATAAAGGAAATATATATATATATATATATATGTCTAGTAATTTTTAAATCATTCCTTGTATCATTAAAAATAATAATGATATCGTTTTATAACAGAGTCACCAAAATACTCTGTATATGAGTATTAAGAAGCGAAAAAACAAATGTTATTCGTACCACTTCACGACAAAAATAAGGTCCTTGTTGAACGGAACATCCGGAACACATGGAATCTTCTAGATATGGATCTATTTGCACCTATTGGAAAATAATGAATGCGATTATAGAGTTTCTTTTCATGTTTCATAACCGTTTTGTGAAATACTGCGAACCTTTTTCGTAAATTTGGCAGTTTTTATTTCTATAAAAGCAGCCGAAACTGCTTTCATATATGAATGTTTTGTACTAAATGTAACACGACCAGATCCTATCGGGTATTTGTGTTTTTCAGTGTCGATGCCTGAAATAATAAAGTTACAACTTTGCTGGTATTTGTCTAAAGATCGTGAATAACTAATTTTATATGATTTTTACCTGCATAAATAACTCCACGGAACAGATCATCCATTATTTTCGCTAAACCGCTAGCAGTCAACATACCGTGAAGCGCCCCAACAAACACTGTTTTATGGGGATCAAGCTTCTGTGATGAAGACTTTACATAATTACTATCTTCAAGGACCCAAGGTATTACTTGTACCTATGTTACAATCATTGTATAGATTATAAGAGAAGTAGCGAATAAATAATAAAAATTAATGTAAAACGTACCTCTTTTGCCTTTATACGTTTAGATGATATCTTGTAGTACCAACTGCCGCCGTTCGTAAAATCGTGTGTGCAACACGCTAGCAGGTTCCTCACCTTACAAGCGAATAATTTTGTGTTAAAGATTAAATAAAGTTTTAAATGGCTAACAATTTTGGTAGCTACCTGTTTTTCGGATTCGAATATAATATATACGTATCCTTTTGGTTGCGTATCAGATTGATCTTTCCCAGGCCACTCTACCCGTATTTGACCAAACAGCTTGAAAGTTGTTACTAAAATGGATTCGGTTATATCCCAAGGTACCCCACCAAGGAACACCTTGGACGAATAACCTGACGGTTTTTGAGTTCGTTGCGGCAGTATACCGCTCCAAGTATAAGTTGGCTCACAGAGTGCTAAAATAATTATTTCTTGCTTATTAACATACTTTTCGCTGATTTATTTACTACCCTTCCGTCGATCGTGACACAATCATTACGTACCAGCAGCACTTCGATGAAATCGTGCAACGCGTTCAAGAGAGATTTGCGGATCTAACATATTCATTGTTGACGAATTCAGGGACATATGATTAACAGTGGAACAACAATTTTTCTCGCGCGTCAAAACGGAATTCAGTAAATTGCCATTTTGGTTCGAGTTGTAATGATGACCACGATTGTGCCCGTGGGAATGATGATGGTGATGCGGCGTTGATGAGTTCTGATAAGGCGAAGTTAAATAATTTTTCACAGCCATCCGTTGAATCGCAGCTGCCTTGTTGTTCGCGCATAAGTCCACTTCCGGTGACATGAACGAACCCATTGGCTGGGAGTAACATCCATGCGACAACGAATTGAACGACAAACAATTCTGAAAAGATTCATCAAGAATTATACCATAGAGGACTTGTATTAAAAATAAAAGTAAAAGACTGAATAATTTCAACCTTTCAGTGCCAGGTCCGTCTGTTCAGTTTCTACGAAAACTGTACGCTTACCATTATATCGGACAGAGAACTGTCCATGCTACTTGTGCCGCTTGTCTCCGAATCAGCTGGTGAATTTGATCTGGAACCGGTACATCCCATCGCGTGCGAGTACTCAAACGTGGGGCTGCCGCAATCGCTGCATTAAGAAATGATTAGAACGTTTTTATTATATGAGTCATTATATGAGTTAAGTGATTATGAATCTATTAAAATTTAGAGAGCACATAACTTTTTATATTTAAAATAAGTCTTCCTAATAATTGTGCTGCACATTGACAAAAAGAAATTATAATTTTATAAGAAATCTTAAGAACAAATGTATATTATTGATATGTGTATTAATCTATTTGGCAAATCAGGTAAATAGCAATTCAAAGTGTATCTGTCGAGAATACCTGTATGGCGGCGACCCACGGATGGGTCTCCCATAATAGGGAGAATGTATGGGTGACGACGGTGAACCCATATGCGGTCCAGATCCTCGACTTGTGGGTGACGTTGCAGTTTGATTGTTACTGCTCGTGGACGAGTACGAGTACGGATTTGAGTACAAACTACTGGGGGTGCTGGGGCTGCCAGGTGTGGTAATGGAACTCGGTGAGCTTGGAATGTCCAACATCGATGTATTTGGGTATATTCCTCCATTTTTATCATCGCACTACATAAACATAATGCACGTGACCGATCAATGAAATATTTTCTTCTTTTTCTGCCTTACTATTCGCCATACAGACACATCTTTGAACGAGATATACAGGGTGTTCGGGGAAAAATTTTAATGGGAGATTCTAGAGACCAAAATAAGACGAAAATCAAGAATACCAATTTGTTGAACGAGGCTTCGCTAAAAAGTTATTAACGTTTAAAGTTCCACTATCACGCGCACGCAGCTGTTCGCAGATTGCCGTTCCACAGGCGGAACTTCAAACGTTGATAACTTCTTAACGAAGCCTCGATCAACAAATTGGTGTTCTTGATTTTCGTCTTATTTTGGCCTCTAGAATCTCCCATTAAAATTTTTTCCAAGGGTGGTCGAATACCCTCTGTATGATTTCAATAAAAATCGATAAAGAAAGATTAAGAAGGAGAACCTCTGATGTTAAGTACAACCTATTCGACGATAAAAAAAAAAGTATTTCTCTCCATGTTTCTTTATATGAAACTTGCAACACTGTCGTTGGCGCGTGGCCAAAATAATGTTACAAAATAAGGGGGGTAGAAACATAGCGTGCGATTACAAGTTCGCGAGAAAACTGAGGCCAAGAAGAGTGTAGGGAAAGGAAGAAAGAGGACTGTGATAGAGCCGTTTGGCTCAGGCTTGTAAATTCTTGGCTATCCGGGAATCCGGGTCGCGCTAACGTGCGGCCATGCGTAATTTACTTCGCTGAACGCATTATACATGTACGTCGGATCCAACACGCGCGATTCGATGGTCCCTGGCGGTCCTTTATGTACAGAGATGCATCCAGCAAATGGCGAGGGGTAATAACGTTAAAGGCGTCGAGAACAGCCTGATAAAATGTCCATTAAAGCGTCTGGTCGATAAGGCACGACTTTCGTACGGCCTTCGCTCGTATTTTTATCGCGGAATCAGCAACGTTGTTGCAGCGCTCGAAAAATCATTATTTAAATACCGTTGTCGCATATAGTAATTTCTATACAAACCACTTCCTCCTCTGCTACGAACAAGTTTCCTTTTTTTTTTTTTTTTTTTTTTTTGTAAAAGAATTTCCGTTATTTATAACAGAGATGGACGTTATATCAAGATGAAATTTTTGAACTGATATTTATTTATGCTTATTGTTATTGCTGGTTTCTTCTCATCCACGGTTCAAAGCAAGATGACTAGATATTATTATCGAAACAAGGAGACATCGATTTCGTAATTGCTCAGGAACATGTTGCAGAAAAGATTCCTTGAAGACAAGAAACGGAGATTGAAGATAATGGAGGCACGTGTACGCGTACAAAGGGGTCCTGCCTCTTTGAAATTTGAAGGGTAAAATTTCTGAATTCTTATCGAGGGTGTCACATTATCGTTGTCCGTTATCATTAATCGTGGCTATCGTAAATTGATGTTAGGGACACATCGTAACAAATATATTGAAAATCGATACATCAGGTAGCTGAAAGGTCTATTGTGAAAAAAATTAGACGCGACGAGTAGAAAAGGAAGTTCGAGGAGTAGTTGGAGTCACTCCAATGAGGATAATCATTGTTCCGGTTATTGCATTGGCAGCAGGCAGACGTTTCATAATGCTACCTACTTCGACGTTTTCGAATTTTTACCGCCATACTGCCGTCTGACGCGCGATGTTTACGAATTAAACGAATAAAGATATTTACCAGCGATTATGCATGTTTTTATATTATAGAAGTGAAAACTTTCGAGGGAATCTTATTCGATCATAATTTTAGCAACGACAATCACATCCGTGTTACTTTTTTAATTATTTTTATTTATATTTAGATTATACTTAACGAAATTTCTAGAACACCATAATTTACTGCCAAAAATAAATTTATTTTATATGTTAATAGCGTGCAAGAACCTTATTATGAACATTGTAGTATCGTTATTGTGAAACGGAGAGGACATTAATATTAAGGAAAGTAGCTTTTGTTAAGCGTAATAAGAAATAACGAAATTGCTCGATTCAAACGAGACCGAAACACGTTCTTCGCTCTTGAGAAGATTTATGCAGAATTATAAATATAAAATAAAAGAAGACACATTACCTGATAATGCTGAGCGGATCCCTGATTGCGATTCTGATACTGATAGTTACGGTAAGCAGGAGATCCGGAAGTTAATTGGCTGCCCATCAACGAGCCTCGTGGTAAACCCAATCCGAATAAATCTGAGATCGACATATCTCCTGGCAAGAAGCAGGACAAAATAATTAATGTTTTTAAAATCACGAAAATACGATCACAACAAATCGGACTATCGGCTGACAAACGACAAACGGATACGGTTCGTTAATTTTGAAACGACGAAGGAGACGATTAAGACGAATTTCAAATCATTCATCGGGTGTCGTTTAAAAATTAATACTAAAACATCAACGGCCGTACGTTTAACGCGAAGACTGTTGCTTATCGCCGGCAATTCTCCCAATAGTTTGATACCCAAAATAGATAATTACAACAATTTTGCAATCCCTATTTACGAGCACTTACATCACCGAAAAAAGGTACGCGATTAATTCCATGCGAACGTAAAAAAGATAATTAAAAATTTACCCGGTAACAAATCATAGAAAAAATATATGGTGATTTTACCATCAATATTGTTCCTTTTGCTGGGCTGTGTGCAGGATGCATCGTGCGAATATCCTTGGAAGCTCGATGGTGGCGGCAGGTCTAGTAACAAGTTGCTAATCGATTGCAACGGATGCAGTTGCTCTCGTTCACGATCGCAATCGCCGCGTTGCTGTTGGAGCTTCTCACGATTTAGTGACTCCCTATCACGTTGCTGATACTGCAACTGGTCCTTGTCCCGTTGCTGCAGTTGCTGGGACACGTGGTCCCGTTGGGGTAACTGCAATTGTTCGCGTTGCATCGGTTGCAGCTGCTTACGTTTGTCCTGAGCGCGTTGAGTTTGGAGATCCAGGCTGTGCGACACTTCATTTCGGTCAGACACGTCTATCACATTCACTCCGTCAATAACGTACGTTAAATCTAGCTGTAAATGAGACAACAATAACGAACGATCCTTTTAGTAGAAACTCGAAACGCATGGCAACGGGTATCGTGTATCATCGCGATAACCGACGATTAGGAAACACTGTCATCGTTTCTGACAGAATTATTTCTGCCTATACCGACGCAAATACGACAATTACCACACAATATGGAATTCTAAACAAATTCTATTTTCAAAAGCTATTTACACGATCGGAAATCAACTATCGCGTGTATAAACAATGTCACGGTAAGTATTGAAAGTTACACAAATTATTCAAGTCGTTGCGTGAGCATACGAAATAATACGTATCCGGTTGTAACCAATAGTATCAACTGTCGGAGAAAAATTACGATTTATTACGCGTTATGATCAGATAATATCATATTTCCTTTATTTTCCATTGCTTTTTAAATAGGTATGCGAATTGGAAGCAATCGAACAACAATTATTTTATACCGAACGAATTCTTCACGCGATTTCCGACAAATACAAAATAATGAGGAAACTAGCTATTCAATTTCGTATTCTACACTATACTAACACCAAAATAGAAATGATCGAACGATTAATATTCGAAAATAATGGAAACTTAATGCGCGTCGCCTACCATTGAATTTCTCGAGCTCATTACTGTGAGCGATATCGGCAAACTATGTTGCGAGCTTTCGGTGTACAGAATAACGAAAACAGGCGCTGAAGGACGCCACTCCCAGATCGCGTTCGTGGAATTCAGAAAAAAAGTTTTGCAGGGCCTGGGATAATATCAAGGCATTCTAGAGACTTAACAGGAATTCCAAACTTCGTGGAATTCAATGCTGTCAAGTTCAAAGACGGACGAAAGGTAAGGACGCCCGATGTACGCGACCAACGACGTACACAATTTAAGAGTTTCTGTAACATAGATTCGATATTCGTTTTCGAGAGCAAATATAACCTAACCTTTCGAATCATTGAATTACGCGGGACTTGCACCGATATTGATTGTTCTTACGAATAGTCGTCGGATGTATGACTGAAGAATGTATACATAGCATATACGTATCCGCAGAGATAGATGAAACCACGATTTCAAGAAATTTCAGGTTACAGAGACATCACGTTCCAAATAGATATTCGTAGCAGCGAATTTAATTTTTGTTTGTAACAATATTATGCCAGTATAAAAATATTTGATTATACTTTTGTAAAACAAAGTTACGATCGTGTTAATATCCCATGGTTTCGATTGGCGAATGTAATCAATTACGTTAACGTACATTAACGTATTGTCGTTCCGATAAGTTCTGTTCCATCGAGTTTCAAGATATCAAAAAAAAGGAATCAAATTTGTCGTTTAATTTGTCTTCCTTGCTTTTTCTCCCTTCGTTCGAAATTATTAATAAAGGATTAGGGGCAATTTCAGAGGGCGCGTCGTATAACAGATAATGTTCTGGTTTATCGGTGTACGAAACGCAACGTGTTTTGCACGTGGAAGCGTGTGGCTCAAACGTACGATTCGCGTGTTTGTTTACAAGCGAGGACGCAGGACATTCCATCGTATTCGGTTTCACGTTCTAAATTCCGCGTTATATTTGTCGCCTAGTACAGAAATAATTTATATGGAAAATTCCCCGTTTCGAATCATTATTGTAACACTAACGAAATTCTAAAGTAGGTTCAACAAAAAATAAACGTGGACTGCGGAAAAGTGACGTACAGACGAGAGACATTCGTACGAGAATATCAATAAACATTAATAAATTGGGAAAACGTAGCTTTCGTGGAAAAATAACTTACCGGTTGCATTAACGTGGGCATGTCGATCTTGGATTGAATTTCACTTGACTTCTTCAACTGTTCGATTCGACGTTCTCCAATGAGTTCAGCGTGGCAATTTTTCGTGACGCATTAAACAAATAACGAGGTCGATGTCGGTGCGTGTACTTCGATAAATTTTCTTTTATTAACAGAAGCGAATTGTTAAATATGCGTATTAACGATTATCGGTGTTATATTAGTTTATTAATATTCGATCCCACCGGGTTTTTGATCATTTGCCGGGGGATGATTTTATACCAGTTCAACTTCCAGAATCGCCCATTTATAATTGATTCGTTGACTCAACGAAAGTAAAATTTATTCTCTCTTTGTTCAATTTAATATCGATGCAGCAACGATGGAGATGGAACGCCCATTCTTCTCCACGTTGCTTCACTCTGCGAACTGAATTGAAGATCTGTCTCTCCCTCTCCCTCTCTCGCCAGAAGTTCCATCTTCAGTAAACGCCGGCGCATTCGCGAATGCGCCCTTATGAAATTTTACATATCTGTGACAAAATACGAAATTGTATATTATTTAATATGCATGTACACGCACATTTACACGCATTATTATTTAATTCAATATACAGTAAACGTAAATTAACGATTTACGTACAAATTTTATCTTTACACGGTAATACGAAAGTTGCAATTTTTAGAAATCGTATGTTTCTTTATTTTGTTTCCGTTGTAAAAATTATGATTACATTTACGACACTGATACAAAAACATTATTTTATTATCTTTAATAAGATTTCTAAAATGTTTGCTACACATAATTCATTTTTTGCTTAAAATATTATACGTAAGAAATGAAATACATACAAAAACTTATTACTAAAAACAGCATATGTATAGATACATGGAATTCACGTTAAAGGAACACTGCTTGAGGGAAGAAAAAATGTTTCTGAAATAAAATTTTTTATATTATTATAGACAAATCTATTTATTATGTACACAAATTTGTGCATTTTATTTATATTCTGTATGCGCTGTCGACGAATCTAACATTTCAACTTCAGAACTAATGTCACTGGAGTAATTCACGACTACGTCACGTGAACTGCTTTCCACCTTGTCGGGTGTATGATCTTCGACTTTACTCGAATCTTCTCCCCATCCAGAAAATAAATTCACCCTTAATTTGTCGATGTCTTGATTGCCCGGCTCGGTTATATGATTTGTGTTCTCCAAAGATTCTGAACCTTCTGCTTCTTGAAGTCTCACTTCGGGAAACTTGTATTTCGGAATATCAACGCGTGCATCTACTAAATATTATTTATGATCAAGTGCATGAAATAATTTCAAAAGGTATTTAAAAAAAAATTGATTTCTCGTACCAGGGTATGGAGGTGATTCCTCTATAAGCTGTTCCATAACATAAGTCAACATAGTTGTTGTAAAAGTATCGTCCCTTCTAAGACCAAGAGCTCTGTGAAAAGCGTCTACAGCTTCCTGGGTATTTCCCATCAATGCATGGATAAACCCCACTTCTGAATATGTTGATGGATTCAATGGATTTAATACCAACGCCTGCAATTATTATAGAATAAAAATTATTGTATATAATCTTCATAATTTTTTAAATAAAATGTTATGTAAATTACATTAATTTAAATCTGAATTTATTAACCTGGTAGTGATATTCCAATGCCTCTCCATATTTCTTCATTTTCCTACAAGTGTGACCCAAGTTATTTAACAGTGCTTCCCACTTACTAGGTAGAATAACATCCTTCAGACCACCTTGAATTCTTTTCATAGCTTCCTTAAACTGTCGTTCAGCAGTTTTATAACTGTATTTAACGAAACAACTTTTGATAAATTAGGTAATTTCGAAAAATCATGGAAGCATAGAACTATCAGTAATCAATTCACAGAACGAATTTTAAACATCTCGGTTGCGTATTAGAGTAATATTTCATGGACAATATGAAAAGAAAATATGAAATTACTTACTCTAAATTATAAAAAGATATAACACCCATCTCATGTATAACGAACGGATCATTTGGGGCTATTCCTTGAGCCTGTTGGAAAAACTTGTCAGCCAATTTAAGATTATTTGTTAAGCCACACTCGAGTCCAATGTATAAAAGTGGCAGATGACAACCTTTCATTAATTGAGAAGCTTTAAAATAAGCAGCCATCGCTTGATCATGTTCATTTTCTACAGCAAAAGAATGTCCATAAGCTAACCAAGCAGGACCAAACAGTCTATCCAATGCTGTAGCTTTTGCTAAATATCTTCTTGCTGGATCACTTTTACCTACGAAATATTTTTTTATAGCAACAATTTAAAGGGATGAACTACTTTTCATTGACTATTGAAACTATTTGATTAAAACGATAATTACCTATACTGTAATAATAACATCCAACAGCGAACCATGCTAAGGCCATGTCTGGATATAAATCAACCAATTTATGCGCCAAGTAAAATAATGCTGAAAGTATTATTACACCATATAGAAAACAGCAAATTATAAATTATTTATTTCTCAGTAAAATATAACATATTTACCATTAGTTTTTTTTAATTCTACTAAACAGGCAATATGCACTGGTAAACATGAATTATGATACGGATCTTTTTTCAATATTCTAAAATACAAGTTACAAATCATAAATTTTAACAATACGATTGCACTCAATGTATTTATCACTGTAAAAAATTACCTTTCTGTAAGGGAAAAACATTTGTGGTAGTCACAATTGTAATATAATCTCTCTGCTTCCGAAACTTCCATATCCAAGTTACCTAATAATCTGTCCGTGACTAAAACTCCCATCACGCTACAGGTTGCAAGCGTCTGTTTCTTATTTGGTTCCTGATACTTTTTTAGCTTACTTTCGTACAGCAACCGTAAAAGTTCTGTTTCAGCTTCTGTACATTGTTCACTAAATGGAAGGGATTCCAAAAGTTCTTTTTCTGATAAAATGATACAATGTCATAAGCTTACTTATTTTTACTTCTATGTTGTACATATGCATTTTTGCATACCTTCGGAAGCTGAAAGCATTTGATTTTGAACTAGTGCTTCAAATGCTTGATACGAATAAACATCACAATGTAGAGCCTGTTTGTAACAATCAATAGCTACTGCTCTGTTATCCATAGCTTCATATACTCGTCCTTTTACATACAATATTGAACTTTGTACCTATCATAAATTAACACTAATTAATAAAATTATATTGAATTTATAATGATAGTAATTGAAAGAGACAAATTATTTATACTTAATCACATTTTTTGGAGCATCCTCTAGCATGTCCACATGATCCGTGAAACCAATACCAGATTGTGTTATGTTAGTATATATTTCTGAATCATTAATCACTTGAAGCGCTTCGTTATATTCTTTTGCTTCTAGAAGACTTCTTACTGTTAAATAGTGACACATTACATCTCTCTACAAAGTAACATTGATAAAGTTTACAAAAGTACATACGATAGTGTTGCCATCTTATCAAAATTCATTAAACAAAATTATACCTTCTCGAGTCCACGACTTCTAATAAGATGAGCTGCTCTGTGATATTGTTTCATTAGATACATACAATGTGCTAAAGTACATACATCCGTAGGTTGTTCATTACTCAATGAAACAACCTTGTCTGCCCAAAACAAAGCAGCACTATATAAATGCTGTAAACGAACGAATAGTTAATTTACACAGGTAATTACAAATAATTTCGAACCTTCAACGAAACTTGAGGAATGCTTGAAACTTACTAGATCAATATAAGATTTAATTAATTTTCTACAATTATCTAAATTAATACTTTTATTATCTAACAAATTATGCATTTTGTCATAATCTAAGTTAATACTTTGACGCGCCATGTTTAATTTAAATTTTAAGGGTTAGATCAGTGTTGTTAGATAGATCAGATTTTGCTAGGTTTTGCGCATATACGATCCGGTACGACCATAGAATATGTAATGATAGATTCAGAAGTTCACTCAATAGCATTTTTTATATTGCCGGGATCCGGGAATCCCTAACGGTTAGTAATTTTGCACGCCATCTCTAGTTTGAAATTCAAAAAAATCTATATTTGTGTCATCTACCTGCATTTCCGATTAACTATTTTAGTGCTGTTTACCTTTCAAATTTTCCTCTTATTCAAACATGTTGTTACGTGTCCTAAAGCTACGTTCACGCAATACCACGCATTGCAAAACTTCCCACCACTTCGAAAACCTCCCGTTCGCGACACTATAGGTCAGAGTCAAAAATTTGAAATTTTCTTCCTCACTTGTAAGAATAGTGAACGGGGGTAGCAGTGGTGGAAGATGGCAAGAAACGAACGAATCGCGTGCTACTGTAAACGAAGTTAATCGAGTATCATTTGCGACGGCCGTGCAGTCTCGGTATAGTCGACGTCCTCGAGGTTTCGGTGACGATATACTGTTTCGCTTGATGATGATGTGAGAAGGCAAAGCAAAGTTGGAAGGGGGGTAAGAGTTCGGCGAACGGAACAGCCGAAAACTCTTGCAAGCGATGTCAAACATGCGGCGACAAATTTCACAGAAAAGTTTACCAAACCGCCGGCGTGTTTTGGCCAAGATTTGTCAGTGAAACCAGTGCCAATGAGTGTGAATATATGGCGGCGCGAGTACTTTTACTGAGCATCTTGTTTTCAGAAGTGCTAAAACCCGCTTGTGCCGCAGGTGCGTCTCCCTCCACTCCTATCTAATCTGTTTATATTCGCCAAACTGATACATGCTGGACCACGCGCTAACGTTCTTTTCTTTTCTCTATTCTTATTGGTGGTCATGACTTCAATTCTCCTCCCCTCCTTTTATGACTCGCATTACCAAATGAACATAAAGATTTAGTATAAACTGTTTGCCTCGGATTGATGCACACAAAATTTTTTTCAACCACAATTCAACACATTACCGCTTTAAAACTAAAGTGACAGTTTTTTTTCAATTAAACATAAAAAACGTATAATTTATTTTAAAAATTCATATATTTATTGAAAATTAATTCCCATTTTTAACACGTTAGTTTAATGAAAAACAAAACTTACAAAGCTTGAATCGTGTTTTGCTAATTTTCGATCATTTAGATGAATATCTCTCCATCTTTGTGCTTTATTGGAACTCGTGTATTTCAGGTGTCAAAGAAATTGGAGCTGGTTTACATAATAAAAACGTATCGAAACCAGAAAATTTCAACACTAGTCCAACCAAAAGTACTGGTGTAACATTAGAAATTCAACCTAGTGATCATGTGATATTAGGAAAAAAAGGAATTACACTTAGTTGTATAACTGGATCAAATCAAAATATCTCTTGGTTACACAATGGGGTACCAGCACCGCCGTGTGGAATCACACGTTGTACACTTTTACGAAATGGCTCTCTTAACTTACATAAGGTATATTTTTGAAAGTATTAATTAATTAAAAAGGTATTCTAGCCTAGGTGTCAATTTTTTATGTATTCTTTAAAATGAAAATTTAAATACAATTTTTGTCATTTGAAAATATTTAAAATTGTTAAAGATACAGTTATTTCGGTGGAATTTCTTTTGTCAAACATGCTTTCACGATTGTCACAATTCTGACCATTCTGCTTATCTAAAATGAACATAATTTAAATGAACATAATTTAAATTAACATAATTTTAAAATGAGTCTAATTTGTACCTGATTGCTTCAGATGTTTAAGGTGCAGAAGTCTAAGGAAAAGAACAATATTACAGTTAATTTTAGGGATTACAGTAAAGATGAGTATCGTTGTGTAACACATACTAATTTAGGACTTATACGATCATCTCCTACCTTTATACAAATAGCAGGTAAGTTTCCTGTTAAATATCTTATTTTCAAGCCAGGTCAGCTTTATAATCGATATTAAAATTAACAATTATATTTGCATGTTGCAGAACTTGCCCATATATTTAAAGAATCGCTTGAAAATATAACTATACAAGAGGGTGAAGTAGCAAGATTATCTTGTTTAATAGACAGTGTTCCTTTTCCTCCTAATATCACATGGCAGCACAATGGAAAAACATTGTTACCCGACCAGAATAACTCAAAGTGAGAACATTTTTTAAAATGATAATTCCAATCGATAATATTTATTATATATTCTAATTAACATTTGCTTTGTAACAGTAGGTATTTTATGGTACCACCAGGTGTTCTGTATATAAAAGCAACAAAGTTATCAGATGCTGGTTCATATAGGTACGTATATTCGTATGAAAATAATGTAGAAAAAAACCTATTGGTTACACTAGAGAACAACTCTCAAGTTCGAATAGTCAATGAAAATTGTATTCCTGTTTTTATAGATGCATAGTAAATAATGAATTCCTAAAGAAAACCAAAAAAAGTAAAGAGGCAAAATTAATTATTATCTCTCAAGCAGAGCGTAATGAATCACATACTTCGCCAGGGTTATATCCGCAGGTTTCGTACAATCATTGGTTGTTAAATGGAACAAATCTTAGTTTAGCGTGTGCTGCATCCGGATATCCATCTCCGCTTATGACATGGACATTTATTCCTCGCTACACTGGTAACATATTCATATTAATATATTTTATTTGGACACTCACGGATAGAATAGAAATATTAATATTTGACGGTTTGTTAATTTTCAGATAATCATAATGTTGCACAACCTCGCATTTTGCTTAATTCTAGTATTGGCATTAGCATATTGTCATTAATAAATGTGAGTGTGTCTGATGCGGGAGTTTATCTATGTTCTACAAAAAACTTTGTTACAAATAGTTTGGAGATTCAGGTTTGTTATTGAAGTGTATCTTACAAGCCCGATCAACTATTACGAATTTGAATAAGATTCTATGGAAATTGTTTCAGAATATAACGGTGGATGTTTTAGTGCCACCTTCGTTTTTGAAGACACCTATAAATCAAGTATGTCCAAATGGAAGAACTGCAAGATTTGAGTGTCAAGCACAGGGATTACCTATGCCTAAAATATATTGGTTAAAAGACTCATTAAATATTACAATTAACGGTAATGTTATTTACCATAGTGGCTATGGTATCTATTTACTTTATATTATCGATATAATATATAAATTTTCCGCATAAATTGTTTGCAGGACGTAGGACTACGTATGTAAAGGAATACAATAAAATGGAGCTGGCAATATCAGCGACGGTTCCTTCAGATTCTGGTATTTATCAATGTGTTGCTGTAAATTCAGCTGGAGAAATTTGGGCCGCAGGTCGGCTTCAAGTAAACACATCTCGTAATAGTCCTGCTACACCTACCTCTCTAAACTGTCATGCTTTATCACCAGTTAAAATTTTTATTTCTTGGGAGCCACCAAAGTCTCTACCAGTTACCAGTATTACAGCTTATACCGTCCATTATAGTCCTGTAGGTAAGGAAACGGATAGAGAATATATGATCGATAAAAGCATTCGTAACAATTGGTAAATCGATGTCTTTTTAATGTATTTTTCGTATATTCTTTCCGCGTAGAAGGAGGTAAAGAAGAAGTTTCTCCGCCTGAACCAGGTAATTCTACATCGGTAGAAGTAACAAAGCTTCTGGAGCCATTTACAAATTATTCCTTCTACGTTCGAGTGTGGAACAATCATGGTGCTAGTGACCAATCCGCCACCATTTTGTGTTCTACAGCTCCAAGTGGTATGCTAATTTTTTTATACTTCCTATTATAAACACAACAAACATATTTAATACAACTCAACTCTTTTTATTCAGTTCCTAAAGGTGTACCAAAAGTAAACGTGAATATAATTAGTAGTACAAAATTAAATGTATCGTGGGAACCGCTGACTAAATCGGAGTCCCGTGGTATCGTGGTACAATACAAATTACAGTGCAGACCGCATGAATATCCATTTTCTCGCGTTCTTCATTTGCCAGCTAGCGTGGAATCTCATGTACTTTCTGGTAAGTATATAATTCTTTTATTGCAATCAAATTTATTGTCTTGATTTTATATTATTTTTACTTATATTCTGATCGTATTCCTATAGATCTAATACCCGGAGCACAATATGATTTACGAGTACTAGCTAGGACAAATCAAGGTTGGCCTAATATGAGTGAATCGCAATTAGAATGGACCACCGTAACTATGCCATCTGCAGAATCAATTGTTATAAAAAATATTGTGGATATACAAATATTAATCGTAAATTCTTCTGTCGTGAAGGTTAGTACATTGCTTGTAATTACAATTGCGTGATCGAATCGTTGGAATAACGTTACGTCAACATTTTATCACATTAGGCGAAATGGAATATAAATCTTAAAGAAAATGACAAGATTGAATCGGAATTTGACTTTTGGCAAATCTATTGTGAAAATCAAAATGGACATAAATTAGTAAATATTTCGTTACCACTGAATGTTACTGAATATGTATTTACTGATCTTGGTAAGTATCACATGACAAATTTAATATTTTCCTGCCTTTAATACGTTCTATATATTATAATTCGGTACTGTAAATTTAAAAAATAATTGATATTTTTTTTTATTTAGATATAAACGTTTCTTATACAGTAGGCTTGTGCATGATAAGCTCTGGTGAGGCGACAGGTTGCCTAACAAAACAAATAGAGACGATTCAACCTGATGCAAGTAAGTTTGTTAGAAACGTATGCGTTAGACAACAGATGTATACTAATTTTGTATATGACTATCACTCTTATTAATTAGATAACGTACCAATGGCTCTGGAAGCTGTTCCTATTTCGCCAACTTCTATAAACGTGACATGGTCGTTGAGTGACGTCCACGAAGTGGACGGTTTCGAATTATGTTATCATGCTATTCATACAACAAATTTAGATGGCCCTAAGTGTTTTATACTGTACGTATAAAAATATAATTTTATTTTTTTGTAACAGCGACCAACGTTAATATACATATATATATTTTACAGAAACGATACCAAGACAAGCGTCGATAAACTTAGACCATTTACGTTATATCAATTTAAAGTAAGAGCTATTCGAAATAATACAAGCCAAAGCAGTTTTTACAGCGAATCTATAGAATGTTATACGAACGAAGACAGTAAGTATATTAATATATTAATTCTTGTATCTGTATAGGAAGGATAGACTAATAATTAAACGAATTCAGTTCCTGGAAAGGTGGAAGAGGTACAGTGGTTTTTGGTAAATAATTCAAAAGTACGAATCGCATGGAAGGAACCGAGTAATATAAACGGCATAATACAAAATTACTTTGTCATATACACCACGAATTTAATGGACTCGGCTACAATGTGGAGGAATGTGACAGTACCTGGCAATAAAACTTCGACAATTTTACCTGGTTTAACTTCAGGGAAACGTTATTTCGTTAAGGTTCAAGCTATGACAAAGGCTGGTTACGGTAAACCATCCGATCCCATAATTATTACTGGTGGTAGACCAGTAAAAATACCTAATTCTCCGGATGAGCAAAAACCACCACAAAATACTAAACCTGATCAAAGTCTCGGTGAGTAATTTGTTTACAATCGTATTAGTTTGTTTACAACACATTTCAAACTCTAATAAAATGTGTATATGTGTGTTTAGGTGTAATTCTCGGTGTAAGCATAAGTATTGGATTTCTTACAATTTGTCTATGTAGTATGTATTGTCGAAAGAAATGTGAAAATGCTCGTATCTTGAGAGAAAACGCGCAATCTACAAAAGGTCGGGTATTGATACGAAACGGTAACAGGTGCTGCGTAGATCAGTCTTCTACATCAGTCAATCAGCAAACTAATATTAGAGTAGCTCCAAATGAAATTGAACTTGCTGTTCTTTGCCCGTCATCTCCGGTTACGACTAATCCGCATTTGGATACGAAGGTGTGTAAACGTTAATATTTCTATTAATGTGAATTAAAAATTGTACGTAAAAATTCATTGTTACAGGGCGGAAAATCTAATGGAATTCTTGAATCTTGTGCAAAGGAACCATTACTACCGTCGTGGGAAGTAAATGGTGAAACTAAAGATATTCAAATAACGAAAAATTCACAGGTACGAATAGCATATTTAACACAGCCATCGTAAAGACTTTTAAAAACATGTTATAATGAAATGTACGTTTCACGATACAGTACAAATCCAAAGACAGCGTTGTCTTGAACAACGAGAAACAAGAGCAAGAATTAGACCTAGATTTGGAAGGCACACAGCTCACGATGGTCAATTGTACTTTAGGCAGTAGCAGTAGCAGTTTAAATAATAACTCTGGATATCCAGACGGAGACACATCCCTGTCGAAATCGATGTGTATATCCGTTCCAGCACTTGGGCCAAATGGATGAAAGCATCAGGCAATATAAATCGAGTGTTCACATTTTTCTCCTATGCTAATGTGCAACAGGTAGGATGCAAAAGTTTTCCTTCGACTTGAATCAGTTGGCTGCAACATGTACATATATGTGTATACACATACGCGTACGTATAAATTAAAAGTAACAAGAATGGAATTCTCAATGAAGTAAAAAGCAATGCAAGTTACTATACTTGCAAGTTTCGCGCAGTATAGCTTGTAAATGAAACACTAATGCATATATAAGTAATGTAAATAATGGTGTCGTGGAAGTGTGTTAAATCTGAACATTTCAGCTATTATCTTGTAAATAATTTTTCCCCGAAGCAAGTTATTTCTATCAGCAACACAGTATCTCTGTATTAACAATTCAGCGAGGAATTATGGAAATTTCCAGATGTCGTTTTATGGAAAATGGTACTGTGGTACGAACGATACTTAATATTCATTATATAACTTGCTCATATATGTATTGAGTTAATACCTGTGAAAAGGTAAAAAAAGAAAAAAAAAAACAAAACAAAAAGACAAAAAAAAAAAGCAATGAAACTGAGAATGAATCAATCAATAGGATAGCAAGAGGATATTTGATGCTTCTGTACATAGGATAACTATTAACTGTGAATATGTTTTTATAAAGTAACATGTTTCGGATAATGGCAAAAAGATAAGTAAATATGCATTCCTTTACGCTAGGGAGGGCAAAGATATTAAATATCCGGGTACAGGTATGGCCTAATGGTATGTATTGCTTTTGAAGAGAGCAATAGTATTGATCATTCCACACTCGTTAAGTTTTCCATTAGCTAAATCTAAATGAAGAACGAAAGATTTTAAGCTTTAAAAAAAGACGTACTAATCGGATCGTTTCATACATCCAAAATGCAACTTAGGTTTGTTTTTTTATCACAAATATTATAACAAAGTACATACATGCATAACATTTAAAACTTTGACAAAGATTTATTCTATTAATGAATTGAACATTATAACGCATTTTTGAATAATCGAAACGATCATATTAATTTAACACAGTCTTGTTTAAACTAGATGTCTGATCATTGTATTATACACTATTGAATAATATACAGCGAACAGGAAAAAATAAATAGTACTATTTAAAGGGCCCGCTAAATTTGTTTGCCGCATGTACAGAATAAGTTAAATAGTTTGGGGTTCTCTATAATTTAAATATTAACGTAACGATTGGAAACCGTGTTTATTGTATTCTATATATTTTTTCCTGTTCGCGGTGTCAGTTTACACGATAGGGATAAATTTTACGTTGTACAAGACATTTTAAAATTAACTACATCATACGAAAAGGAAAACGAAACAAAACTACAAACATATTCCAGACTGGTGCATGTTACCATGACAGAAAAAACCCAATACAGTACCTGATAGAATAAGCTATATCTTTTAGAGTGAGACGTAGATATGTCATGTTATTATTGTACCTCCATTAATTGTTATTTATTACATTTTACATTCAGTACTATTTCAAATGATCACATAACACTGAATTCCGCAATAACGTAGTCACTACAAGCACAGTATGAAACCATGTAAAGATAAAATTAATTCAATCTGCACATGCTAGAGATTTTACCATATATTTATTGCATAGATTTCTACATCTTTATACGAAATAATTTGTTAACCGTATAATTTTAAATCATTTCTATCAAAATGATTCTGCCTTATGTTAAAGCAATGTTGCTATTAATACAGATCTTTTATATAGTACATACTTCACACCATACTTCTCTAAGTATAAATTATGATTTATTTTTTTTTTTTTTTAACTCGGTACTAATAGGTTATTACGGGACTTTCCTATTTGAATAGTTACAAGATCTGATGCAGTTTTATGGAATAAAACAAAAGGAAACTTTATTTGCATATTACGCATGAAATTCGCTACATATTCTACGATCACATTCATTAGAATCTCAATTTACGCATACACGATTGTAGCTATTTCTTCTTGATATTTCTACAACAAGTTTCGTTTGTTGCAAACACAATTCACAGATAGAATGCTTAATTTGTGATTTTTTTTTTATTTAAATGATTTGTTTTCCATTTGTTATCGTATTTAACACAACCTGTTACATTTTACGTTACTGACATATAGTAGGATACTTTTATATCTGTTGAAGGTATTTGTTACACTTTCTAGAGTTAAATGGGAAATGAGAATTGATATACGTATAATCAATAGACAACTAATAAACAACCGCTCATGAATTTGTTTTCCCTTTGCATCAAACTCTTAAAATATTTCTAAATATCATTTGCACTGTATGTATATGTTAATTATTAAGCTTGTACAATTTTATAACACCGATGGAATTTTTTTTTAATTCTAAGGAGAAAGGTATTATTTGTTTCTTTTTTTATGGGGGGGGGGGAAGATGATAGTTCAAAAGTGTTGACACATGACGGAGACAAAAAATAAGTAATACGGCGACAAATATGCTATTGTATACGAATTTTTAAGCTTTGATTTTTATCGATTTTGTAAAAACAAGAAAAATGAATTTAGACTTTAACTTATTTTGATCGTTGTATTTCTAGCAGCATAATGTACTATATTTAAGTGAGATATTGTTTTGACTGCTATCGATATAATTCTAGTATGGAAATTTTTATATTTATTTTATACCTGTATAAAAATCTTCCATTTTATAGAACGTTTACCGAATTTAGAACAAAAAATTATTGGCGTTAAATCAGTAAAAAACTATTACCGTAATCTTTTCCACTGATTGTACGAATGTGATAAGATTTTGTAAAAAAGAAAAACGGGAAAAAAAATGAAAAATAGAGTCGCCGTGCTAAGCGTTAGCTAAGTGTTTTATTAACTTCAAATAATGGATTATAATCACAGTATTGAAGTACAAAGCAATAAACATATTATCTTTAGACTGCAAAGAGGAAAAACAAGTATTGTAACTGTTACATTTAGAGTATAACAATTTGTATTAAAAAAACATTTGGAATTGAGGCTATTTTAATCACGGATTTTTATGATACATCGTTCATCTCATAAATTATTCTTATACCGATTTAGAAGTGGTTTCGTATCTACAGAAAATTGTATCGATCAATTTTTGTGAATTGTATCTTATTCAATGGTTTATCACAATCGGTAATTTTTCAAGCATATAAAGAAAAAAACAGAGTCCATCATCTTTCATTTGCATATCAAATTTTGTTAATACTTTCATACAAATTTCATAGCTTTATTAAACAGTAAGAGGAGTAGTGATACCTCGTTTCATTTGCAATAGCATTCAAAGATGAAGCAATCCAATAGTATTGGCCATACATGGATAAAGTATTAATGATATTGTACGGCGACTCTAGTCAAGTAAATATACCTCCATAATTGTACCAACCCTGCACAGGGTACGGTACCTTATATTACTTAATTTTAACTTAACCTCAGTACCTATTACACAACACTATAATTTAGATTTACACAATTTACCTCAGAAAATATATTCTCACACACAGTGAGTAGGTATAGCCAAGACATTATACTTTATTTTATACGAGATATATATGAAAATGAAGAAACCCGGTAAATTGAAGTTTGTATTATTATCGTTAATTATAGCAATTATTATATATTAAGAAAACTTTATTAACTTATTTTTCATAAACCCTTATCATTTTCTTTTATCGACACCTACATCATTAATCTATTGCGATAATTATGCTGTTTTTTAGGGTGCAGTTACTTTGTAAATATTTTTACCTATGATTGTACATATATTATCTGCAGAAAATATTAAAAATATATATTTTAATATATTATGTATAATAAAACTACATCAAATTATAATCTTATTATTTAAAGTATTACAATTAAAACGATACACAAAATATTTAACGATATTGTTGATCATTCTGAGTGCAGTATCTTGTTGTAACCAATGATTGAATAAAATTAAGACAGTGTATCGATGTTGCTGGTCTTAGAGAACAAAATAGAATGACCCTTTTCCCCAAGAATTTAGTTCGTTAATGGTATCAAAGGTATAATGATAGCAATTAAATAATTGCATAAATGAATAACTTTATTATCAAAGGATTAATAACAATTAATTAAAAAGGGTAATGCTATGGATTTGATTCGGCAGTTAGTGCCGTTAGCCTATACATGTATCATCCTCTGTAAAATTAGGCTTAATTTTATGTTATAAATCTATTGATTTCCTTATGTTTGGCGTTTTAGAAATATTTTCTAGCTTAATATTATTTGTACTCAATGTAATACATTATGTAATTCGAATGATCTAATATTCTAACTTTACATAACCATATTATTTGCTTGGAATAAAAAGATTTCTGCACACATGTCACGGCTCTTAAAAATTATGTATTGGAATGCAATGGATATAAAAAGAAAAGCAAAAAATCCTTTTTAAGTTTCTACGGATCTATTAGATTTTTAACAATTTTATTTATATTCCCAGTCTTGATGAAATGCAGTATTTAAAAGCATTTTTGGCGGTATACATAATTCTCTAAAATATTTATCCAAACAATTTCATATGCTATAATATATTAAGTTTGGGCATGTAAATATCTAGTTCCATGATTCGTTTTTCAATATGTTCCAGCTTTCGCATTATCCTTACATGTCAAAACTTGACTAGCAACCTTAAGGTGCAAAAATTTCATACCTCAAACTACGATAAAATTAAGTACATTAATTTCTACTTTATCACATTTGAAATAGGCTTATACATGAAATCTTCGTATTCCATATTTGTTATATTCTATAAACTTGACTAACAGTATTTGTTAGCGGGTAAAATACGAGTAAAGTATATAACATACAATAGAGTATGTAATTTGCATAGATTACTAGGCACAAGGTGAAACGCTCCAAAAGTTATTTATACAAATCATTGTAAAAGCCTTTTTAATATTTGATCTTGGCAAACCATGCTCCCAAAATTCATAGAACCAAGGAATGTGGAAATATCTTCATGCTCACATAGTCGTCAACAACCTACATAACAATGATTGAACGAAAATTTAGTCTCTACAAATATTGAAAAGCTGCTACCGATTATAAAAAATTATATTCTTGGATTTACTTTAAATAAATAATTATTTACCTCTTTTAAAACATCTTTTGTAAGTTTTGGATAAACATAATCAAACCCAGTATTTAATAACTTTCTTGGATCTAGATACAAATGTTTGTTGTAAAGAAGTTCTTGGTCTATATATGGAGACAAAGGACTATTCTCCACTCCATCCTTATTGCAAGCCTCTGCCCAAGGTCCCATATGTTTGTCATTCACTTCTTCAACTACGGAGCTCATATCTGTCTAGGATAAGCGATATAAAAAAATAACTTTAAGTTTGTACCCAACAGTCTAACAAGTATTATCTAATAATGCATTTACTATTTATTTTAAATAGTTATTCTTTATCGATAATGCGGTTTAATAATTTTACACGAGCATAAAAATGATTAAAAATATAAATATTGTAAATTTACAATGCTACATTTATCGTTGAACTTTTCATATTAAGAACGATACGAAAAGTAAATATAGTATAATACGTACACGCGCATATTTATACGTACACACACATAAATATAAAAATGCTTAAACATGCGTAACAAAGTACATAAGAAATAATGTAATAAGCCTCTCTTCATACTTTAGCCAATGTAGATAGTGCAGTACCCCAATAATCGTGATTGATATTAAACAATTCTGAAACTATAGCACTGATTGATCCTTGAGTTGAATCACCTTCATCAACAACATTGTACGTTTGACCTATAGTTTCTGGCCTATTTACTACGTGCCAAACAGCTCTAGCTACGTCCCTTGCATGAACCGTGTTCATATGAAGTTCTGGTCCCCAAAGTAATTTCATCATTTCTCCCAAATGTTTATAAACTGCCCCTACTACCAGACGTGGTGCTACAGAAGAATAGTTTTTATACTTAAAACATCATTGTACTATCGTACAAAATTAACGAAGGGTATAACAGTTAACGGAACCTGTACTATTTGTATACTGCCATTAATATTATGAAAAAGTAATATCTACTTGTTTCGAACAAGAAAATTGAAGTAAGTATAAGTGCAGTAGTGCCCACATAAGTGACCACGCTCGGGACCGGCCGCGGTCATTTACGTGGGCATGGTTACTTCTCAGAATTCAACGAAGATGAGGAAGGAGGATAAGTGCGAGTGAGGTGCAGTAGCTGGCACCCGAAACCATATATACAATGTATCGATGACGACCAGCGTCAAGTTACGCTCGATGTTCGAAGCCGCTTGGCTTCGAAGAATTGCCGAGGATAACCGCGGTCATTTAAGTGGGCACTACTGTATTACCTAAGCCACTTCTATCTCCAAAACCATACACGATAGCTGGTCTGAGTATCGTGTACTTTAAACTTGGTATATTTTTTAAATCATTTTCAACTTGGAATTTATATTTTGCAATATACGTCCACGGTTCGCCGGTATCTTCCTCTCTGTGAGGACTCTATAGAAATAACATAGCTTGTCAATTTAATTTTTCCAACAATTCTTTTAATAAAGAAGTTGACACTAAAATTACATACTTTTTCGGAAGTATTGAGATTACCAGAAGATATTTCTACATAACGATCGACTTGTTGTTTTGCTGCTTGTTGAGCACAATTTATGCTTAACTTATAAATTCCTTCTTTATATACAGGGTCCGTTTGACCACTCTTTGTTTCTCCGGCGCAATTAATCACATAATCAATGGGACCGTCCGATAAAAATGCATTCTGACAAGATGCTAAAAATTGTAAAACGATTTATTATAAATTGCGTAAACGATAAAATTGCTACTATCGTCGTAACGAGAAACAAAGAAACTGTCATTAGATCTTGTTCCTAACTTTAATTTGTGAAATACCAATACAATGTTCCAAAGGTTCTATACTAATAATAATTGTTGTCGATACTTGAATTACCTGCATTGATCAAATTAGCACTTTTGAATTCAAGCAAAGGATGCTCGAACATTTGCTGGTGTTTAGCGTTGAGCCAAGCGGTTTGTGGTGGTACTTTGTCTACGACACGTACAAACGACACGAGATCATTATCCAACAGATATTCCACGAGATTACGTCCTATGAAACCACATCCTGTTCCGACGATAAAATGTTTTTTTTGTTCTTTCTGTTTTATCACTTCCGTCGTATTATCGTATAGAAATTGACTACGGTATACTTGCCTCCTAAAATTATGACTTTTGGCTTTCTATTAGAACCAGACGTTGCCATAATTACTTGTCATTTAAAGTCAGCCGGTTATTTCGTCGTCGATTTCGCGAGCCTCTGTTAAAATTAAAAGAACCTTAATCGCCGTGACAGTTCATAAAACAATCCGGCTGCGATACTGTTATCGGAACACCACCACTTTTCACTTAACCTCAACAACTCGGTTCGGAGGAACGTGCCTACCACGGACAAGACATATGAGTAGACCTTACACCTTATGATCTTTCACGGCCCAAATTCACTGTCATACCGACTTACAAATCGAGAAGTGATTTTAGCGTCCTCTTTTCATGGATGGCGGTCAGTCGAGAAACTATTCACTGAATTTGGGTGTAGTTGTGTTTAAATATATGCGAGTAGCGAAGTACGAATTATTCGCGTTTCTTTCTCTACTTGAAGTTGCAAATAATTTGCATTAATTGTATAGTTCCATTCGGAGTTGCGAACAATGAGAACCTTTCGCGTTTGCTTTGCCAGATCTTAATTTTGAGTAATGTTAACTAATTTGACTAATGTAAAAGTATCTTGACTTTAAAATCATTTTTGATCAAAATTTTTATCAATATTGCATACCAACGTCGATAATCGGATATGATTCTCAGAGTCATTGTCCTTAAACACAGAGTGTGCTGTAAAACTACAGATTTTCTTTTATGGTCAATATTCTCAATTAGGCACTATCGAAATACAATCGTCTATTTAAGTAAGATCAATCAATATCAGAGTACATATTGGTACTCTAATAGTCAGGGTTCGTAGAAAACATGCGGTGGATTATCTTACATGAATGGACATCTTGTTAGGTTTTTGTTCTCTCTCCTTGTTGTTAAAATAGCCAATAGATGTTAGGATTTTTCGTCAAAGGAGGGTGGTTGGGGCGAGGCTAGGGCGGGTCTCCATTCGCAGCAACCTCCACGCGTTGAGACCTGGGTCATTATTATTTAGTATGTAATTAATTTTATCGCTTGTTACTGTATAATGTAATTATTTAATAATTAATTACATAGCAAGTAATATGAGCTCTTCGTACAACTTTCATTTTGTTAAAGAACCAGTTTCAGAGTCGCGAACTCATTTCTCTGTAGAATCCCCTTCCCAACGGTCAGGCAACTCGATCCCAGGTCCTGCTGCACTCAATGTTACCTAGTTTTTTTTTGATAAAATAATTGTTTGACAAAACTAAACGTGGAGATCGAAGGAACATTGATTCCTTTTATCTCCCAAGTTTAGTAATTTAAGAATGTAACAGGGAGATACAGAAAATATATTTTATTGACACACGTTTTTATCAGAAAATCGCTGTTTCAATAGCATCGTCCTATGGATGGAAAAGGAAAGTACCTTATTAATTCGAATCTTGTCTACGATTTTCATTATCGTCGACAGTCATCTTAAAGCGTTGGGAACTAACTAAATCATTTCTAAATCTTTAAAATAGTTAAACTAATAATCGTTATTTAATTGAGTAGCAGAATCGGTTAGAGGAACATAAGAAACGTCCATTAACTTTTTCTGCGTGACCGTGCCGTCGGCATTCTTATCCACTTGAAGCAAATGTTGAAGCCTTTGGAAACCTCCAATGACAACGGGACAAACTAGTCGTCCTCCGGGAGCTAGTTGATCTATCAACTGCAATACGCAATACACGTATTTATGCTGGATAGTCAATCTTTATAGAAAGTTCCGATTACTTAGGTTTTATATTTGAGAATTCCCTTTATACCTTTTGCGGTAAAGTCGATGCAGCTGCTCCAACGTGAATCGCGTTGTAGGGTCCGTCAGCAGCATATCCCAACCTGCCGTCTCCCACTAAGCGCATTTACAGTGACCTGTAGATAGACTTCGGTCTATCTTTTATGCAGGATGTTTCACGCAACTGGAAAAAGTTATATCTCTAAAATTGTTGGCGATACAAACAAATGCCATAAAGCAAAATTAAACGTCATCGAACGACGCACAGACCCAATGTAACTTTATTCATTTTCAAATGCATCGATGCCAATCATCGCTGCCGTTTGATTTTGTCCTATGACATTTTGTATCTTTAACCATTTTAAAGATATAGTTCTCCCCAGTTGCGTGAGACACCTTGTGTAACGCACAGCAAAGTCACGCAATTGGTGAACACAGTCAGATTTGATTCTTCGTGATAAGGTACACTATACCTACTCCACGAGGGTGAATTACGAGTATTTTTTAATTCGAGTATATTAATTGTTTTCAAGCTCGTGGATAGATAATCTTAACATTATAGAACACCAACCATTCGTGAATAAAATTCGCAACGCATCAGTAATTTAGTATTTCTTACCGACGAATTTAATACGGCCCTCTTTGAAGAAATGAGGAAAATCCTCGCGTACGTTTTTCGTGGCCATTTCTACTAGTTCGGGAATGTGATCGATACCGACCACGCGACCGTTAGGGCCCACCATGTATGCCATACAAGCTGACAAATATCCAGACCCAGAGCCAACGTCCAGCGCTTTTGCATTATCGCATAGTTGATCGGACAGAATGGACAACGCGTACGCGTGCTGCAAAATCCATACTACATGTTTGTACTCTTACTCTTTTAACATATCCTTGCAACAGGATAAGACTAGATAGATATCGGTATGCGATCAAAATTGTTTCCTACTAAAAATGTGTTGTAGTCTATTGAATATAATTGATATGCAGGCAATCTACACAAAAAGTAAAGATTTTATAAAAAGTAGATCATTTACCATATGGGGAGCACTAATTGTCACGTTAAATCCAATTTTCCTTGGTCGATCAAGATAGGGGTCCGGTCCATGAAAATACTTTGCTCTGTCAACAGCAAGCATAGTTTCCACTGTCTTGTCTGTTGTTAGAATACCAGCTTCTGCAATATAATTCCATGATCAAGTTCTATATAGTCCACTAGATAAAAGTTAAAATTTAGATTAATACTTTTCATAAAACTTGCCTTTTAGTTTTTCTACCATTTCCTGATTCGTGGTTCCATTGCAACTCCATGCCATGTCCCTTGTTAAGCCCGATATAAAAGGCAGAGGAGAAACAATGTACCTGTTTGTAAACAGCAAAAGATGACCTGGAGAAAATAGAACGATTAATGACCCGTTAAAGGGAGCATATACGAATTGTGTGAATACGCCACACGTTTTACATTCATAAATTTTCTAATCTAAAACTTTCAGATATTGTAGACGGTTGTTTAAATGTTAATAGAGGCAAAGAAATATCAGTTTGCAAAACGTTCCGAATGAAAACAAGAAACGACTAAATTGACGAATAGAAGAAAAAGCAGTTCATCAAATTTAGAGAAGCGTAGAAAGGAAAATTAACATTGCGGTTATCCGTGTGCCTAATTGTCAGTGCTGACAAATGACATACAGAAAATCTTACAGAAATCATGTTTAATGGGGGGAAAAAAAAGTCCAGCTTCAGCATCGATTCGTTCCACCAAATTGATAACAGTTATCGAGAAGTAATGTCACTATCTCGTATTAAAAGACGTGTATCGAATTTGAAGGACGTTTTTATGAGGTTAAATACCTGCTTTGCTGTTATCTGGCTGTAGAATATACTTTCTGTGTCTGCGAAAAGAAGGCTAAAGCTGTGTTGACATCCCCACTCTATGTACCTATCTACTACGCCGATGCTGCGATTATCTGTTTCGCTCGGTCTTGATATGGCTCGTTGTCGATCTTCGTCATTCCTAAAATAGGGATGTCCACCAGCTTCGTCTTCTTTTAATAGTAGCATAGAACATATTTATCTTTGGGTTTAGTCGTAGAATAGTTTGGACACCTGTTCTAATCAAAACTAAAGTAATTTCCATTTAATTCGAAATTACCGACTTATGATCGCAGATTACAAACGTAGCTTGATTACTGGTTATCGTGATTACTTTTTGTAGCCAATTAGTAGTTAGCTCAACTGAACCATAGCGTAGGATAAATTTAGAGTTAAATGGCTAAAACTGTTAGAAGTCTCAAATCAGAATCATTTGAGTTGTTGAAATTTTACCCATTCTTTAGAAATTGCAATATCAGGTGCACGAAATTTCATGCAATGGTGTAAAATTACCCCCCGCGTGTACGGGTGGCGTATAAATTAGCTTTAAGCAACCGTTCGTTTGAAAACTCAGCTGTCTCTCACGTTGTCGTAAATTAGCTTTACTACCGGGAGTCGGTAAAATAGAACGATAATAAATCATAGACGGAGTACGTTCAAATATTTGATAATGGCAATGGCAAGACAGTATTTTTTTTTCTTAGATCACGCAGATTTAAATCGGAAATTAAATTTGAAAGCGGGTAACTGTAACATCGAAGAATAACGAAACGCCGTGTAAGAAATGGAAATGTATGCAAATTTTGATTCACGACAAATTATACATCACTGTTGATCATCGTAGATACCATTACTACAATGCTTCTTGTAATTCTTTTCATCATCAACCTTTGTCTAATCGAAGACACATCGTGTCTCTTTACAATCAGCGTTTTGGCGGTATTCATAGTTGGATCTTTGCTGGTAGTCGTTGGGAATAATAGTGTTCTGTGCGTAACAGAGTTCAGGAAATGCTACGTTACAGAAAGCTCAGTGTATTCGAATTTTTGGGGGTTGGTATATTTATGGCACGCACCGCATTTCCAGAGAAAAGCCAGGGCTTGCGACGAAGATGTTGATAGGATCGCGGAGATGCGCGTTCGCTCATTCCCACGTTTGTTTGCCGAGTACATAGATGCACAGCCAGGCGAAAGATAAGAATTGCAGATTCGATTCGTTCGAGTTCGTTAAGTAGTTGCTTTACGATCAGTATAAATTCAACGAAGGGTCGGACCTTCGGTAGTAAAGGGGACATCGATCGCGAGGACAGTATTCTCTGTATAAACGCGTGGTCAACAAAATCGACACCGTTTTCGCACCCTTGACTCACTTGATTACGCTTCGATGATAAATACGTAAGAAACCGAATACGTTGCATCCGTTATCCGATCCGAATTAATCTTGGGACTGTGGGCGTCGATTGTTTGGAGAAAAAAAACAAGGAAAGATCATGACGAAGGGGACGAAAGTTGGGGGCCCAGGAAAATTTCGACAGTTTGTCGTCGCACTTGCCCGTAAGTGTTCCAAGAGTCATTCTAGGCTTAACGACCAAGAGATATTGGAATAATCAATAAAAATTATTTGGGTCCAGTGGCGTAGCTAGAGTTGCAATAAATCTTCAAAGTCTTTCTTTCTCAATGGAGAAGTCATTTATCGTTCTCATAGAAGAATTATTGCATTCCAAGTTAATAGAAGAGACGCAAAGGAAACGAATAATCGTGTTGCAATTATGTTCCAGCGAATATTTTGTGTTTGTCGTACGGGCTGTCGATAGGATGGCAGTCGCCGATGACACCGTTGTTGCAAAGCACGGATTCCCCGGCGGTTAGCGAGCCGATGACGGACGACGAGGTGTCCTGGTTGACCGCGATCATGTGCTTGACGGGTGCTATCGTCAGTTTGGTCATCGGCGCGATAGCGGAGAGGTGCGGTCGCAAACTGGCCTGTTGCATGGCGGCTCTGCCGTTCTCCGTCTGTTGGATGTTGATTATTTTCGCGAGCGAGCACATGCACGTGTTCGTCTCGCGTTTCTTCGCGGGGCTCGGCGGCTCGATGTCTCTGTACGTGGTGCCGCGCTACGTTTCCGAGATCTCCAGCGACGACATACGCGGCATGCTCAGCAGCCTGCTGGTCTTGCTCCTGAACGGCGGCATCTTGCTAGGATACATCCTCGGCGCTTTCTTCTCGTTTCGCGTCTTCGCTATCATCGCCTTCGCGATAGCGTTGTTGTACTTCGTGTTCGTTCTCTTCCTACCGGAGTCACCCGTGTACCTGGTGCAACGTAACCGGCTCCCCGAAGCCGCGAGGTGAGCAGACGCTTTCCAGGGCTCTTGATTCCAAAGATAACGCGAGAAGATCTGGAAGATACATTCCGTTTATTAAAATCACTAACATTTTGTTCGAAATTGTCTTACGTAGCTTAACGTTAACTTACTTTACCATAACATAGTGGAAATTGAAATTCGATCACACGGAATGAATCAGTCTTCGTGTTTGTTACTCTATGGAAGTCTTGTTGGAAAATTCTGATGACGTTGTACCATGTGTGTCCGGCTGTGATCCGAGGATAGCGGCTTAGACTAAACACCGAGCGTCGCAAATTCGAGGAAATGGCTGCGTAGTCGCGATGGGAATTCGAACGTAACGATATGTGAAATATACGCGTGGTTTCGAGGGGAAAATTAATTAACACTAGATTTTACATATGTATATCCATTAGATAGAACCATTTATCAGATTACATTTTGCGTGATTTTTAGGTGTTATCCTTGTATCAAGAGGTCTAATTTTCAGTTGGTCCATTGTCGATCGAGTTTGCTCTAATTTCGTATCTCGTAGATCCCTAAGGTCGTTGAGGGCCGGCCACGAGCCGACAGTGCAGCGGGAGCTATCGCGTCTCCAGGCGGAGGTAAAGGAACTGTACGTATCAGGAAAATCGATCGGTCTATCGGACCTGGTTCGAGACAAAGCAACTGTCAAAGGACTGATCATTACGCTGGGCCTGTTCTCTGCACAACAGTTCTGCGGAATATTTGCCATGGTAAGGGAACAAATTGCTTTCTCATGAACAAAGATATCAACAATGTTTCTGTTTCTTTTCGCAGATAAGTTACACGGAGGCGATATTCAGGATGTCGGGAAGCTCGTTGTCCCCGAACACCTCTACGATTATCGTGGGCGCCATACAACTGTTCGGCTCGTACTTGTCCACCTCGTTGATGGAACGACTCGGTAGAAGACCTTTACTTCTGATGTCTTCCTCGGGGATGTGTGCCTGTCACTACATCCTCGGTGTCTTCTGCTACCTGCAGACACTCAATTACGACATCAGTAGTTTCACTTGGATCCCAATCGTGACGTTGTCCGTCTACATGATCCTTTACAGCTTGGGTTTGGGTCCTGGCCCGTACGTGGTGTCTTCGGAGATACTCAGTCGGGACGTGTCCACTTTGATCTTGTCAATGGGTTTGTTCTCCGTTTGGATATCGGCATTCCTCATCGTGAAATTTTTCCCAAGCATGGTCACTCTGTTGGGCATGTTCGGTTGTTTCTTTCTGCTGGGCACCTTCTGCGCGATCATTTTCGCGTTCGTTTTCACGCTCATCCCGGAAACGAAGGGTCAACCGCGTCAGTTGATCTTGGATCGATTGAACGGACTGTCCTCCTCCCACAACGAGAACCGATACATCACGTCGAGTAACATCGTCGACAAAACTATGCCGTTACCCGAGCAAATTTGACGACTCGTGCTTAACAGTGGATGAACATTTTAGAACAAAAAAGTAACTAGCGTGTTCGAATCGTTTCCCGCCTAAAATGATTTAGAATGGATTAGCGGGTGGACCAATGGTTCTCACGCAGACCGAAAAGAAACTTCTCTTCGTTGTTGTTTTATGTACCTTGTATATACACTCGTGCGCGTACACTATTCTCGTCGTTGTAAGTTAATTTAAGAAAAAACAACTCACGATGGTTTTTTGAATTTTTATACTGGCTAATTGACGATGTAATCGGAAGGAACGATTGAACGATGCGTCGTTTGATGGAACGGACGTCGAGGCTGTTTTGGAAGGGTTCCAGAGTATTGTTTCATTATCGCGACGATGGGTCGCGTCGTTATGGCTATCAGTCATCGTTCAATCGTTTCCGTACGTTTTTGTTGCCAATTTTTCGTTTCTTGAACGTCGCTGGTCGACTGTCTTCGTCGCTGTCGCCTGTGTCGACTTGCGTCACTGTCTTTTCCTTGAAGGTCCTCTGCACGGGAGGCGGCGCCTCCGCTTTCCCGAACACCGGAAGCTGCATTTGCTTGTGCCGCGGCAGCTGCAAGTCCACCGGTTTCGTTTCCCTGAAACCATAGAACAAAGAATGTGTCATTAAGAAAATATCGACATTGTACTTCACTTCTGATCGAATCGTGTAATCACTTTCTCTGATAGGTTATCGATTAAGAATTTATTGAGAATAAAGAAACATGTTCCTCGTATATTACAACAATTATTTCGTCGATCGATACTCACGTGATTCGAACAGTTTGCCAAGGACCGTAAGGATGGGATTTCTCCGGAATGCTATAGTCTCTTCTGTACGGCCGGTTCTCCTCCTCTGTCGTTTCTACTTGATCGTCAGCTTCGTCGTTTCTCGGTCGTTGCGTGTCCCTGAGCTTTCTCAGTTCCTTCAAATGCTCCCTCTCGGCGTTGGCCCGTTTCTCTTCGAGAATGTCAGCGTTCGCGACCGCTTCTTCCTGCTCCAGTTGCTCGAGCAACGTCTCCTGAAGAGCTTGCTCCTTTACCTCTTCTTCTTGTTCCGCGAATGTCAGATACCCCTCTGCTGGTGGCTCCCACACGGACTCTAGGATTCCCAGAAAATAACAATATCGTTACGAAGAAACAAAAGAATCGCCAAAACGGAAAAGTTTCTTTCGAAAATTCTAACGGGATATTTATATAGCGGATAAAAGGAAAACCGTATGAAGTATTGTTAGAATTGGTCGTTGGGATGACACTAGCCGGGTCTTTTACCCTATTGGAAAAGTTTGTTAGCTGTTTCGATCTCTGGGCGTACCGTTGGTCTCGATGTGCCAATAATAAGTGTATCCTTCGGGACTGCGAGCCTCGTACCAAACTTTTTGGACTGGTTTCGAGGGACGATCGTCCTCGTGGCTTTTCTTCCCTTTACCTTTCCCTTTGTTCGTTTTGCTCTTTCCCGGGGTCTTGTTCTCCGCTCTGTTGTGCTGAATTCTGGGATGATGTTCCGGCGCGCCTCGCGACAAAGTTGGATCGCACGGGTCGATCTCCTGAGAAAACTGAAAGGTTCCAACGCCTCAGCGTGTTTCGCGAAAGTTTATCGCACTCGTGGATAACGAAACATTAACCTCATCTATGGTGAACGCGAATGTTGCTGTTGCGCTTACCTGGTAGCTTTTACCTTTAAACCTGGGCACGGTTTCTGGGGCGGCCATCGGCATACGATTGTAATTCGGCGTCTGAAACGATCAATTATCGAGAATAAATTTCTTCATGATTCTATGAACAGTAAATACACACCTCTTTCGTTTCAACCCTATTCTTCTTCTCCTCGATTATCCTGTCGGCGGTCATGTCTCTGGTGTTGTTCTCGACGTCTTTCAAGTAAGCAGCCATGGCTGCCTAAACCGTTAAAAAATGATTTCCTTTGGTCTCTTAACATTTACAATATTTCGACTAGAACACGTTCCATAATAGAAAGAGAACTTACGCTTTCCATCTTTTTAATATCTTCTTCGATCTTTTTATTCTGCTTCGCCTGTTTGGTGCTATTTTTGTGTATCTCTTTAAGTCGCTTGCTGACATTCTCTTTGTGTTTCTTGCCACCTTCGTGGAAATCAATGCTAGGTTTATTGTCGGCGATCCAGCACTTGCAGAAATCGCAGAATTTACGACCCTGGGATTTCCAATAGTCCGCCCTGGAACATCGAAACCAGATAATGCTTTTCGTTTTCGTTCGCGCAGGAAAAACTGGCGTTTCTCTCTTTCCTTTTTTTCGTTAAATATTTCTAGTTTACAACAATGGTCGCGTAACGAGCACACGCGTGCCACGACGCGTGATTGGAACGGGAACGAATGCTAATCGAGCGTATCGGATATCGAGGCGAAAAAAACTAATCTAATCCAAGTTCTACTAGCGCGAGAAAAAGTATTAAACTTTCTGGTGGGAATTATTATCAAATCTTATATTAGTTACGAACAACTACCGTCGATAGCCAGAATTTTATGGGCATTCATTTTAATAATAATTCCTTGTGCCGTTCGTTATTCTTAATCGTCGATCATTAATCAGATTACGTTCTGTCCAACTCTGATCGACGACCAGCGAGCCTGACCTTTCGCGACTAGATGCTAAACGACGATACTGTCATAGCTTTTCCCTCCTTTTCTCTTTTCCGCAAACATCTGCGCGATTTATAAAACGTTGTCGCTAGATCAACGCTTTAAACCTTGCTCCGCCGATGCACGCGATCGTAAATTCACAGCGTAATAAAGGAACGTTTATGGGGGTTATTCTGGTAATCCGGTTTCAAAAAGTCAATAAAAAAGAGGATTTGTTCGAACTCGTAAAATTAAACAAGTTGTAAACGTTCGAAGTGACCCGTGTAGCGCGAGTATATTTCCCCCCAAATGTCACCAGACCTCCACCGTTGTTGGCTTCCGGTTTCCTCCAGAGTCACCTCCTACGTACGCCATTCCAACCAAGTCGCCAGTTCTTGAATGGCGTTCGCGATAGCGAAAAAAAGTCGTTTAAAATACGTTTTCAGGACGCTGAAACTATTAATCGTTGCTCTCGTCGATACATTTCAAGGGGGAAAAAGTTTAACTCTTTCTTACAAGGGATGATGGGCATATTTATGTAAAAATAGCAACAAGTTTTTCTTTGGCTGGACCAACGGGCACGCGTGCAAAGTTTCATCGAAATCAGCGCCAGACAGTTCGCGATATGCTCCCTCGTGATTGTTCTGTCAATATGGCGTCTGAAAGAATTCCCCGAGTCGAAAGAAAATTTACCCTGTGATTAAGCTTGTTTGCGGAGTTGTAGATTCTATTGATAGGATCCCTATGGTTGTGCTCAGTCTCGTACACAGTCGTTTCGAATGAAAAGAGTGGATCTCGTTAATTTAGACGGGGTGTGTTTACCTTGCCCTTCGATGAATTACGTTGGAAAAAACACGACTCGATCATTACTATTCTATCGTGCGTCCACATGGACTTGATTTTACTTTTGTTGAACAGTACTCAGACGACAGTTCCGCCTCCTTGCTGAAGTCACTCCCCGCAGGGATCTAATTAAAGTTACCGGATGATGCGCGTCTCCTCTCTTCCGATCTTCGAAATCGATGTCGCGATACGGTTAGAAAAGATAGCGAGCGAAATTATTCTCGTTTGCTTTTAGCAACAGGTTCGCTATCCCGATGGAGATGAATCGATAACGTCTTGGTGGCTCCTTACGCGCACAAAGGAATCACAAAGCGGAAAGTAGCACGGATGGTTCGACGTCGGTTGCTATCGTGCGCGTTTCAATCCGATCCAATACCATTTTCTGCGCGAGAATATTAAATTTCGCTCAGAAATCGATGCGATCCCTTTCGTTCGAATGACTCGCGCCATAAACGGTAGTTGACTTTCAAGACGAAAAAACTTGAAAAAAAAAAAAAAAAGACGAATTCGCTGGAGCCTCGCGTTATAGGCTCTCGAAGCGACAGACGCAGGGGTGGGAAGAACTCCGCGCGCCTATAACCGGGGTAAAGAATCCATCGCATAAGCGGGTACTATTGATTGCCCGATTTCTGGTAATCGTTTCGGTCTCGCTTGGCGTAGAATTCGCAACCTTAATACGCTCGACGTAGCGAATCGATGTCTCCGTCGTTTGGCGTCGCCGAGGGACGCATCGACGACGATAAATCGCGCGTGCCGCGTCAATTCCCTGGAAAGGACGGGTTAAAGACTGAGGCTTGTCCGTATCGAGGGACGTGTGTCGACAACGACGACACGGGGTGTTGCCTCTGGAGTCCAGGGTTTAGACAGCGGGGCATCCACGGTTGAAAAGAGAAGGCGCGAATCGGCGGATCGTGTAAATCACAACTGTCCCAACAACGCCGCGCTCTATTAATAATAGAGTACGTATTAATAGCGACGCCGTTCTATAGATAGGTAGGAGGGAAGAGCTGCCTAGCTTGCAAACCTATTAGATGTGCATCGTAAATACGGTTCGACCGACCTCGTTGTATCGCGAGTATTTCACGCTGAACGCGCGGGACCATTAATTCTTGCCGTTTGAGGGGAGCGACGCGCCCCAAACGCATCCCTCCCTTCTCCTCGACGATCTTAGGACTCCCTGAGCACGTGTACACTGGCTGTAATTAGACTCGATCAGATTTCCATCCCTCCCACTCGAGGGAGACACGTTATACCCCGAAAAGAGGAAAGATCATTTTTTGTTCTTGAATCTTCTTTTTATAGATTCGTTCAACAAATGCTTTGCCCCCCCCAAAACGAAAGTCCCTAGGGGGTAGGGTACGATTTAGGCAAGCGTATCCTGTACGAGCACTCTCCGGTAAGGGTGATCGTTTTCCGTGACCAAACGCTCTTGGAGAAGGACGATCATTTGTACTAGTCACGGGATCGTCGTTCCCGCGACGCCGTATAAATGGTGGTCGCGCGCTCCGTGCAGGCGCCATTAAGCTCGTCCATGTTTCGCATCGGGTAAAAATTCTCCAGACTCGAGATCGACAGCAGTTCCCGTCGGTCGGTCAGACTCGGCACGCGAATAGAACTGTCAGACACGATACCGTTCGTGGTCGGCCAACGCCGCCGTATATTTTCGTGCTTGCTTTTTGGCACGTAAGTACGTTCGATCGGGGCACGCGTTTGCATCCAAAACGGGTCGAATCTTTTCCCAACGTCCGCGCGCGACATCCTGAATGTTCTGGTTCTGGTCGAGTGACGGAATGAATCATTTGTTGGGAACAGATCGTTGCGAGGAATTCAAAGTTGACATCGTGATTTGTCAATTCGATGCGCTTGTTTTTTTTTTATTAATTCTTTGCACTCGATACGGTAATTGATAATGATTAATTCTAGCACCATAGGCAGCCTTCTGAACACGCGTGTATGAAAGTTCGAGCCAATCTTCGTTATTTCACGGAAGGTTTTATCATCGCGTCAAGAAAAGTCATTTCGAGAGAAATGGCTTTAAAATTTTAAGTCGTGCTCTTCGACGCGCCATAACTTATTTAAATCCTCGAATATCGCCATAGAATTTTAAAGATGCCAAGGTTTTAGAGGGTGCAATTAATAAAAAGGTCGAACGAACCGGATATCAGTAACGACCTTAACGATCGTTAAACCAAACCGTCGGACTCGCCGTTTGCCTTTTCCCTTCGAAACTGCCAACCGTATCCTGTGGCTGCAAATATTGGGACAATTCTGATTCGCGTAATTAATTTACTTTCATTTTTCGCAAAGAAAGAAAGTAAGTTACTGGTAGTAAGTAGCTTGTGGATAGCTTCGAGCAGTTTTGTCTCACGCAGTCTGACCCAATACTACTTGCACGTATGGTCTTTTTTTCGTACAACACATAAAAATACGACGTGCTAGCTATTACCTGCGGTTTCGTCCGCGTTCAAGTCGTTTTTGTCGACAGTCCCCCCCCCCCAAGGTTTGCCGAATGTTTCACAGTATTAAAAAACTCGAGGGAGAAAGTAATAAAGACTAATGGAAATCCTGTCGTTTACTAAATAAACCACTTTTGGTAAAAACAATACGGTCGAATTTATTTCGAATAAAAATTCACCAACTTCCGGTTCAACCCAACATTACAAAGTAAAGCGTGATTTATTACAGCGTCATCCATCTTTCCACGATTAGTCGAGCACATTCTACGCGACGAATTCCCAGTTTGCGCCAGGTTCGTCCCTTAATCGCCGTCTATTATCTTCGAATAAAGTGGCGCTCATCTCCGACTGGCAGCTCGAAGTAGGAAATCCAAACGTCGTCGAGGAATTAGCTTGTTACCGGGCAGAAATATCCCCCGATAAATTTCGAGCAGCCGGCCAAGAACAATTGGCACCTATGAGATGTAATTTCCACGACGATGTACGAGGCACGCCCTTAATTTTACGCAACGATTTATTTTTAGGCGGTAGAATGCACGCCGGACACACGAGGCGTGCCTTCGCGGACGTCGCCGACGAGTATCAAACTTTTTCAACCCCGACTGAAGGGTTGGTATGTAGTTAAAAAATTGGGTCATCCGTGAAACAATAAAAATACCTGCGTATTTATCACGTAGCGACGATAACTCGTTCCTCCGCGGATTACGAGCGAGTTGACGGTTTTGTTTGGCTTGGCAGCTGTCTGACGTTTAGCGACACGCGGTTGTTTTCCCCATCGATCGTTCGCGTAAATATTTTTAACCGGTTCACATCTCTCAGTTTTGTACACGTGTTTAATAATAGTATTATTTATATCCGATCGTCAATTTCAACGCGACGATTATGTTCTCGGTTCTTTGATAAATAAAATTTGCTTCTGCGACTGAAACTTTGAGCAGACCTCTAACGAAAGCCTGAGATTGTCAAATACAATGATTTTAACGGGATTTCAAACTCACGCATAAGGCTGTTGAAATTGCACAGATTAATTTTCGTACAACAAAACATTGCAACGATGAGGAGAGCCTCGAGGATCAGGACGGTCTTTTGCGGATTTTCCTCCTCGACGATCGTCGATTTGGAGCCCCGGTCGAAGCAGAATCACGTATGTACAACGCCAGCGAATCAACTATTTCCAACCACCTGCGATTGGGAGGCAAAACCGGATCAATGGATTCCGCACGAGCCGACTGAACATCAGCGAAATTAACGTTACGAGGTCTGCTCGACGCTGCTGTTACGGAATAATGATCCATTTC